CAAGTCACACTCACTATCCAGAAAAAAAATGTTAATATTTTTTAATATGTTTATAAAACTGATTTTAAATGGAGGGTTGCCATCTAGTGGACGCATTTAAATAGAACTGTTGAAATCTTTCATTAATAGGTGCATAAGATACAATGAGAATAAGGCTTTTCAGACTCTTCACCACCACAACTCTGAGTTGATTAGACCTAGGTCTGAACCCTAGTTTTGCTATTTACTGTGTACCTGGGGCACAGGATCGAACCTCTCCTTACGTTAGTTTGAACTCAGACCTCCATTTTGTTTAACAAATAGTCTCCAACCTAACAGTGATTTGACATACAATTTTTTACTTTATGATGGTGCAAAAATGATACACATTCAGTAGAAACTATACACATTCAGTAGAAACTATACTTCAGATTTTGAATTTTGATCTTTCCCTGGGCTAGCAGTATGTAGTATAATACCCTCTTGTGATGCTGGGCAGTGGCAATGAGCTGCAGCTCCCAGTCAGCCATTATACTCTGCAGTGCACTAAGTTGCCAGATGATTTCACCCACTTGTAGGTTAATGTAAGTGTTCTGACACGTTTAAGGTGGTCTAGGCTAAGCTATGATGTTCAGTAGGTGAGAGGTGCTAAATGCATTGTCAACTTAACAATACTTTCAGCTTATGATGGGTTTATTGGGATGTAACCCCATTCTAAGTAGAGAAACATTGTATTATGAAGCACTCCTGTGAACCAGACTATACTGTGGATAGACTGCTAGACCATGGGGTATAGTCCTAGACTTATGGGGATACAGAAGAGCCCAAGAGACAGTCTCCTCCTAGAGTTTAATAAGATTTGTGTTGGGGGTATAGAAGCGGAGACTATTTTAGGTTAGGTGGTTAGGGATTGGGTTTAAATCTTAGATCCCTAGTTATTAATGTTTATATAAACTTAGGCAAGTATTGACCTCAAGTATGACATTAAGATCTAAGTTCCACAAGAGCTGGAACACTGCTTTGTTCATCACTCTCTTCCTAGTAATGCTTGGCTTATAAAAAGCCTTCAGTAAATATATGCTTAATGAGTGAATGACATTACCTTACCATGACCTTAATACAATTAGTTCCTGGTGCTTAATAAGCACTAAATGAATTGTAGACATTAAGGAAATAATATAACTATGTATACTATGTATGTAGTAACCCTAGATTTAAAACAACTGATTTAGATACATACATATTCCATAATTTACCAGTTAAAAACTGTTATATACACTTATCGAAGGCAGCAAACTGTCAATTTTGAAGAATAGGATCTTAACCATGTAATGGCAGAAAGACCTAATCTCTAATACCTATGTTTGCCTCAAAGAAATTTATACCAATAAAAGGGGACAGTTGTCAGAATCTGTCTCCCAAAAAAGGAGGGGCAATTAAATGGCCAAAACTGCTTCCAAATGACTGTCCCTCAAAGATTGCTGCTAACCTTTCCCTTAGAACAGCCTTATGAATTCTCCTACCTTGATGTAAATATTCCTTCACTGGATTTTATAATGAAACAAGCAGTATTTATTAAAAATAAAAACCTACTTTGTATAACAAAGTAAATGATGCTATGATTCCTGCAATTAGATTTTGATGTACTTTGTAAAACTATGACATTATTTTTGACTATAACCTGGATTTTTCCTATAAATTAGCTATCAAGCCCTTAGTCAAATTTCACTCACTTTAGATCAATTAATGGTACTTTTCTGGGAATTTGAACTGCCATTATGACAACATTGTATCATTACAAGCCATAATACATATTTTTATATATTGTATATAAATACATATTTATGTCTACATATTTTAACTGGAGAAAAATACAGGTTTAACCTAGTACAATATAATGGCTGAATGATTATAAGCAAATATAGTAACATTTCCAAAGCTCTAAGAAATGCCCATTCTTCATGCTGTTCAATAAAATTAAAGGGGTATCTTATATGCACTAGATAGATTTGTAGGCAATAATCTATTTCCACCAATATAATATAAATGAATAAATGATAATAAATGTATTAGGTAAAATAGTAAGTTGAGATAAGGAAACACTTCAATGGTCAATTGCATTTTTGAATTATAATTTCATGTTTGGACTTTAATCTTCTTAAAATTTTGATAAGCTATAGGCTGGGTGCAGTGGCTCACGCCTATAATGCTAGCACTTTGAGAAGCCAAGGTGGGAGGATTGGTTGAAGCCAGTTCTTGTTATGGGGTAACATAGCAATACCCCATATTCCACAAAAATTTTAAAAATTAGCCGGGTGCGATGACACACGCCTGTAGTTCCAGCTACTCAGGAGTCTGAGACAGGAGGATCACTAGAGCCCAGGAGTTTGAGGTTGCAGTGAGCTATGACACCACTGCCCTCTATTTCTTTTTATTTTTATTTATTTTTTTTTTTTGAGACAGAGTCTCACTTTGTTGTCCAGGCTAGAGTGAGTGCCGTGGCGTCAGCCTAGCTCACAGCAACCTCAAACTCCTGGGCTCGAGCGATCCTACTGCCTCGGCCTCCCGAGTAGCTGGGACTACAGGCATGCGCCACTATGCCCGGCTAATTTTTTATATACATGTCAGTTGGCCAATTAATTTCTTTCTATTTATAGTAGAGACGGGGTCTCGCTCTTGCTCAGGCTGGTTTTGAACTCCTGACCTTGAGCAATCCGCCCGCCTCGGCCTCCCAGAGAGCTAGGAGTACAGGCGTGAGCCACCGCGCCCGGCCCTATTTCTTTTTAAATATTTAATTTGTATTTCTTATATTTTTTTTAGTTGGCCAATTAATTTCTTTCTATTTTTAGTAGAGACAGGGTCTCACTCTTGCTCAGGCTGGTTTTGAACTTCTGATCTCGAGCGATCCTCCCACCTTAGCCTCCCAGAGTGCTAGGATTACAGGTGTGAGCCACTGCACCTGGCCACCACTGCACTCCAGCCTGGGCAACAGAGTGAGACCTTGTCTTGAACAAAAAATAATTTTTGATAAGCCCCATGTTGGATTCCAATTAGAGAAACATCCAGAAAAATAATTTGGTATCCATTTATGGAACCATCAGTGGCTTACTCATGCCTGTTACATACAGCTAGATTAAATAACCTGGTCTAGTGAGCAAGGCCCTACACTGGAAGTATGCAGGCACCAGAGAGCTTACAAATATTCGCAGATATCCAGCTGTTGAGGCACTAAGGGCTGGACTACTTCTGTTGTAGCCAAGCATAACATCTACCCAATATACCATCTGTTAAAACACTCTTTTGGGCTGTGCATGGTGGCTCACACCTGTAATCCCAGCACTTTGGGAGGCCGAGGCAGGAGGATTGCTTTGGGTTAGGAGTTTGAGACTAACCTGGGCAACATAGTGAGACTCTATCTCTACAAAAAATTTAAAGTTAGCCAGGCATGGTAGCGCATGCCTGTAGTCCTAGCTATTCAGGAGGCTAGAAGGAACACTTGAGCCCAGTAGTTTGAGGTTGCAGTGAGCTACAATCACACCACTGCACTCTAGCCTGGCCAACAAAGTGAGATCTTGACTCCAAAACAAAAAAACACACTCTTTGGACTTAACCCAGTGACCTCATTCCTCCTCATATTCTTTAGGCCTATGGGCCGCCCATTTGAACTTTTGGCTTTACACAGATAATAAGTGATATAAGACCCGTGATGATCAAACTTTTTTCTTTTCATTTTAAAAGACCCTTTTAATGAAAAACTTCATCAGGAGGGTCAATTACAAATTTATCAGTTAGGTAAAGATGTCTATTAATACATAACAGCCTCCTTAACCATGTCTTAAACACAGAACTGAAAATTTAGCTATCTTAGTTTATTATAATTGGTTCCGGTAGAATAAAAACATGTAAATATATCCCCCTTTAAAGTAAGTAGGTTGTGTAGATCAGAACTACAAATTTATCCTCTTTTTAAAACTAGAAACGCACTAGTTAGTATAATTAACAAAATGGCTATCAGCAAGCTTGTTGTTCATATATTAAGCATTACATTGTACATTCAACAAAGTTAATTTTATGAAATGTTTTTTAATTTCATAGACAATATAATACATACTGTGTAAGAAGCACACAATAGTTTTGCAGTACAATTTCAAAGTGTATACAAATTGGAATACAGAGGTTAAACACTGGTGTACTGATAGCATTTGAACTTTAAACTGTATACAAAATTTACAATTCAAATATAAGCCAATCTGAAAACTTCACTTCCCATAATATAAAAATGATACTTTGCAATGCAAAAACATTTTTTACTAAACAAACTATATAAACATTTAAAATAATCATCAAAAACTCAACGTTAGAATTTATAAAGATTAGCTATAAAAATATATTGGCAGTCACTTTTCTTATAAAGGTACCATGCACTACATTACAAAATAGTCTCTAACATAAAATTGCCTTAATAACTATACTATTTTAGAATCTGATAAACCTTAGATTAAACTGATTATAAAATCTTCTTGGAAAAACTTTGGTATGCATCTTTAGAAAGCTTTTTAAAAAATAGTATTTTAAGGGCCTGTAAACATTCCATTCTATCAAAGCACAACAGAATAAGTAATAGATATTCAACTGCATACAGAATATAGAATCAAAAAACAATTTATTATATATTTGTAGAAAATCACCATTACCAGAGTAAGCAAAAAACAAACCATTTAAAAGTATCAAACTTTTAAACAGTTCTCTTTCCATTCTGATAAAAAAAAAATGTTACAAAATCACCGTATTCTATTCATGTACCTTAGAAACCTTTTAGGATAAGACCTCAAAAATAATTAACCCACTCTCAAAAACTCTCTCAAGTCCAACAAACAAACTTTTAAAAACTCTTTTAAAAGATTCGACAATAGAACAAGTGTATGTAATCAGAACACATAATTTATATATTTAGTAATGTGTTAGGTTTTCTTTTACATTTGTAATTTAGAATGTATTGGCAGAAATAAAATACACACACACACACACAAACTGAAAAAGGTAAATTTCAGAAAAACAGTAAGAAATGCAAACCTATAGGGTAAACTGATTTACTTCTAAAAATCCAATTTACCAAATCTCATCTTTATCTGCCATTTTTGGACTGACAACTATTGTTACTTAGAAAATTTAAATTAAAAAAAAAAAGAAAGAAAGAAAATTCAAATTGCTGAAAGTTGGTTTCTTGCTTCTTGAGTATGTTTCATTTTTACAAAGCTTCCAGTTTTGCCAGTAGCTTCCTTGAGGTCACTTTCCACTATATCCTCTGTCACCAGATATCTTACAAAGATATTTGAGTTGCAAAAGCCTACATAAAAAGCTCCACTTCTGACCTTTTAATTTATAAAACTCCACTAAAAAATCAAATATAATTTTTAGGCAAGTCCACAAAAATATTTTCTTTGTTAAGAATCAAACACTTTTATGGGAATAAAGATCCTTCAAAGTTTTTAACTCTTCTATTAGAGTCTTATTTTGATTTTCCAGGACTGCAACTCGATTTTCCAGGCATTTAACATATTCTTTCTTCTTTCTGCGACATTCTCGAGCAGCCTCTCTAAATATAAGCATTAAAAAAGCAATGTTAAAAAAAACTTCACATTCTCTAATTGATAAATGTACTTTAGTAATTTTTTCTGGTCATCTTTTTCCCCCGCATTTTAAAATTTAAGATATCATCTACATACAGTGAATACACATATCTTAAGTGTAGTATACAGTCAGTTTTGGCAAATGCATATACCTATATAACCCACACCTCTATCAAGATATAGAACATTTCTACTGCCCCAGAAAGTTCTCTCTTGCCCCTCCTGGTCAGTCTTCTAAGCAACTATTGTTTTGATTTTTGTCACCATAGATTAGTTTTTGTTATTCTAGAACTTCATATAACAGTGTCATAAGGTATGTACTCTTGTGTCTGGTATCGTTTCACTCAGCATATTTTTGAGGGTCATACATGTAGCTGTGTGGTGGTTTTGTTCCTTTACATTTTGGGGCATATTCCATTGTATGAATATAACAACAGTTTGTTCAGGCACAAAGTTTGGTACAATTTCATGTTTACAGCCCATTTTTCCTTCCATTAGGTTTCTTTTATATTAATTTATAGAAATAAATCTTTATATATATATATATATACACACACACACACACACACACATACATATTCTGTAATTCTTTCTTTTTATATAGGTTGCAGATATTTTTCCCAGTTAAGTTCGTTTATGGTATCTTTTGTCATATAGAAGTAGAACTTTTAGGTCAAAGAATCCCGTAAAACTTCATATTTTCCTCAGTAATATATGTAAAGTACCCTTTTCCTTATATGCCCAATGACAGTATTACCACTTTTTAATTTTTTCCATGTTACATCTCATTGTTAATTCATTTCCCTAACTACTAGTGAGACTGAGCATCTTTTCAAAAGTTTATTGGCATTTTGGACCTGTTCTATATAAACTGCCTATTCAGAGCCCTGCCCATTTTTCAATTAGGTTGTCTTTCTAGTAACTTTTAAGAACTCTGGTTCATTACACATATCAATCCTTTATCTGTTTTTACATTCTTTTCTAATCTACCATTTGACTTCTGGTATTTTTATACCTTGTGCCATAAAATTTTTTAAAAATTATAATATGTGCTTTTTTTTTTTTTTTTTTTTTTTTTTGAGACAGAGTCTCACTTTGTTGTCCCGGCTAGAGTGAGTGCCGTGGCATCAGCCTAGCTCACAGCAACCTCAAACTCCTGGGCTTGAGTGATCCTTCTGCCTCAGCCTCCGAGTAGCTGGCTACAGGCATGCGCCACTATGCCGCGCTAATTTTTTTTATATATATCAGTTCCAATTAATTTCTTTCTGTTTATAGTAGAGACGGGGTCTCGCTCTTGCTCAGGCTGGTTTTGACTCCGACTTGACAGATCCGCCCGCCTCGGCCTCCCAAGAGCTAGGATTACAGGCGTAAGCCACAGCGCCCGGCCTAATATGTGCTTTTTAAGCCTTTTTTCTTGCCTTAGATAAAAATGTCATGTACTATATATATATTTCTCCATAACTTTTGTCTTAAGGGTTGTTTTTTGAGTTTGAGACAAGCGTCTTGCTTCGATGCCCTGGCCAAAGTGCAGTAGCATCATCATAGCTCACTGCAGTCTCAAACTCCTGGGCTCAAGTGATCCTCCTGTCTCAGCCTCCCAAATAGCTGGGACTACCTCCTGAGTAGCTGGGACTACAGATACACACCACCACACCTGACTAATTTTCTTCTCTTTTTGGTAGAGGTGGGATCTTGCTTCATTCAGGCTGAGCTCAAACTCCTGACCTCAAGCGATCCTTCCACCTTGGCCTCCAAAAGTGCTAGGATTACAGGCATTAGCCACTATGCCTGGCCTATTTTAAGGGTTTTTATTGTTTTATTTTTCACAATTAAATCTTTAATTTGTCTGGAATTTTTTAATATACAGTATAAAATAAGGGTCCAACTTAATTTTCTTCTACATGTGGAGTTGTGTCAGCATCATTAATTAAATAAGCCATGTTTTTACAAGTATATTTCACTAGCATAAGAAGCTATTTATATGCTCTTTATCCTCTTTGCTAATGTTTCCTAATATTATTGTCTGTTCTTTTACTGATACCAAAATACCCGTTGCTGATTAAAATGGCTTTAGAGTATTTTTAAATGCCTACTATAAGACAAGTAACCTTTCTATTTCTGACTATTCTTGAATAATTATTTCTATATAAACTTTTATTTTGTCTAATTCCGTAAAGATTTATAGAGATTCTGGTTTGAGTTATACTATATCAAATTTATATGTGAAATTTGAAAGAATTGGCATTTTATATTAACTCCACCTAAGAACATAGTATATTTTCTTTTTTTTCTTTCTTTTTTCTTTTCTCTTTTTTCTTTTTTTTTTTCCCTTTTTTAAAAAATTTCAGCATATTATGGGGGTACAAATGTTAAGGTTACGTATATTGCCCATGCCCCCTCCTCCCCCCAGAACATAGTATATTTTCTTTTCAGATATTATTTTAGCTCTCAAGATTTTTTATAAATGTGGATCCTATGCCTTTCTTATTAAATTTACTCAAGTATTTTGTTTTTGTCATTAATATGAATATAATATTACTTCTTCCTATTTTTTTTTTTTATTTTTATTTTTTTTTTGAGACAGAGTCTCGCTTTGTTGTCCAGGCTAGAGTGAGTGCCGTGGCGTCAGCCTAGCTCACAGCAACCTCAAACTCCTGGGCTCGAGCGATCCTTCTGCCTCAGCCTCCCGAGTAGCTGGGACTACAGGCATGCGCCACCATGCCCGGCTAATTTTTTTATATATATATCAGTTGGCCAATTAATTTCTTTCTATTTATAGTAGAGACGGGGTCTCGCTCTTGCTCAGGCTGGTTTTGAACTCCTGACCTTGAGCAATCCGCCCGCCTCGGCCTCCCAAGAGCTAGGATTACAGGCGTGAGCCACCACGCCCGGCCTACTTCTTCCTATTTTTAAGATGGTTACTGATAACAGAAATACTATGATTGTTTTTTGGTTTTTTTTTTTTTTTGATTGTTTTTTTGTGTGTCAACTTGACCAGATTATGGGATGACCAGATAGCTGGTAGGTAAAACATTTCCGGGTGTGTCTGTCAGGAGTTTCTGGAAAAGGTTAGTATTTGAATCAGTAGACTAAGTAAAGAAGATGGCATCATTCAATTCATTGAAGGCTTGAATAGAAAAAAAGCAGAGGAAGGGTAAATTCTCTCTATTCTTTAGCTGGGAAATCTCTCTTTTCCTGCCCTGGACATGAGTGCTCTTGGTTCTCCGCCCTGTGGACTTTGGGACATGTCCCAGCAAGCCCTGTGCCCAACCCTACCTGGGGCAGCCTTTGGCCTTGGACTGAATTATACCCCTGGCTTCCTGATTCTCCAGCTGCTAGACTGCACATCATGGGATTCTCAGCTTCCAGAATCTTGTGAGCAAATTCCCATGATGTATCTCCTCTTATCTATTTGATATCTACCTACCTACGTATATCCGTTGAGTCTGTTTCTCTGGAGAACCTGCCAAAACACTTACTAAATTTCCTTGTAAATTACATAGTTTAAAAAAATTTATATTATGATATAGTAGACACAAAAAATTCTATGTGGCATAGATGTAAGTTATTAAGTATAATAATAAAATGACATGTAAACTCAATACCCAACTTAGTAAGAGAAAACATTACCCCGGCCGAGGCGTGGTGGCTCACGCCTGTAATCCTAGCTCTCTGGGAGGCTGAGGCGGGCGGATTGCTCCAGGTCAGGAGCTCGAAACCAGCCTGAGCAAGAGCGAGACCCGTCTCTACTAAAAATAGAAATAAATAATTGGCCAACTAATATAATAAAAAACATAGCCGGGCGTGGTGGTGCATGCCTGTAGTCCCAGCTACTCGGGAGGCTGAGGCAGGAGGATTGCTTGAGCCCGGAGATTGAGGTTGCTGTGAGCTAGGCTGACGCCATGGCACTCACTCTAGCCTGGGCAACAAAGCGAGACTCTGTCTCAAAAAAAAAAAGAAAAGAAAAAAGGAAAAGTAATTGGCCAACTAAAAATACATAGAAAAAATTAGCCGGACACGGTGGTGCATGCCTGTAGTCCCAGCTACTCGGGAGGCTGAGGCAGGAGGATTGCTTGAGCCCAGGAATTTGAGGTTGCTGTGAGCTAGGCTGATGCCACGGCACTCTAGCAAGGGCAACAGAGTGAGACTCTGTCTAAAGAAAAAAAAAAAGAAAACATTATCCATACTGTTAAACAGCCCTCTGTGCCACTCCCTGAGCCCACATCGCCTCTTGCCCAGAAGCCATTACTAGCTTCAATCCCTTTTATTTTATAGTTATAGTACATATGTGTATGACCTAAATTGTACATCATTTTAGTTTGCTTATTTTCTAAATTAATAAATATCATACTTTATGTATTTCGTTATAACTTGCTTTTTCACTCAACTTTTTCTAAAATTTATTCATGTTGAAGTGCCATTCACTCAATCAATCAGTTAAAATGATACTATTGCATTATATAAATACAGCCCACAACTTATGTTTTTTTCCCCCATTTTTATGCTTAGGTTCAATATGTATCTTTTCTGTTACCAGTGGATCTTTAGGTAGTTTCCTGATTTTTGGTGCTATAAACATTTTTATGCATACTTTCTGCAAAAGGCTCTCTCAGTCACACACACAGTAAAACAGCATTTCCAGGCCAACTGTAAAGGATAAGGCCTAATCAGCCTCCAAAATGGTTGTACCGTTTTATGCTGCCATAGCAGTATATGAGTTTTACTGTTCCAAATCCTCACCAACTCCTGGTTAGACTAAAATTTTGCCAGCTGGGGGCCAGGCATGGTGGCTCACACCTGTAATCCTACTGCTTTGGAAGCTAAGGTGGGGGGATCACTTGAGGCCAGAAGTTTGAGGTGGCAGTGAGTGAGGATGACACACTGCACTCTAGCCAGGGCAAAAGAACAAGATCTTGGGTGGGAGGCGGGATCTGTTCTGGACTCTCTTTTCTATTTCATTGGTCATTTTGTTTATCTCCATGCCAATATCACACAATTTTAATTACCACAGTTTAAATTAAAACTTATCTCCTCATATTATTTTTGAGATAAGAGTCTCACTTTGTTGCCCCAGCTAGAGTGTAGTGGCATCATTGTAGCTGGCTGCAACCTCAAACTCCTATCACTTCTACCTCAGCCCTCCAAGTAGCTGGGGACTACAGGTGTGCACTAATTTTTTTCTCTATTTTTAGTAGAGACAGGGTCTTGCTCTTGCTCAGGCTGGTTTCAAACTCCTAAGCTCAAGCAATCTTCCTACCTCAGCCTCCCAGAGGCTATCATTACAGGCATCAGCCACAGCGCCTGGCCAAGAATTGTATTTCCTTGTTGATATGATTATGTACTTCAAAACCTAAGAGACTTGTTAAAAATATGAGAATGAGACTTCTCTTTGTGACAACATGACTCAGTACGTAATATTTTTTAAAGCTTGATGAGCTACAAAAGCTACCCTTTGAAATGAGTGGATGAGTCTGCAGGAAAGAGAAATCTATTGAGGTTAGAAATGAATCAGAAGCTTAAGACCATGAGGTTAGTAATTACTGAAACAGCCCTTGCATATCTCAGAGATAGTTCAGATCTTCTTGATCAGTATAGCTCTGGTGTGCAGAGGAGACTAAGACAGTCTTGGACCTGTGCAGGCTGGAGAACTGAATCAGATTATTCTTTATGAGGTCACTACACTCATAAACTGAGAAGTGTAATTTAACCACTTCAGTCTGGCACTCACCGGCCACGAACCTTGCCCACAGCCGGAACTCATAGTCCGCATGATAGTTGTCTGTGCATTGAAGACGAATCTGTTTTGCTCTTGTGTGATGAGGAAAGCTTTAAAGCACTGAAAGCTTGTTTTAATTATAGGCAGCTTTACTTGTAATGTAAATCAGAATAGGTAACATATACATATATGTTTTCATTACGTTATTTTTAAATGTTCACAATTTTATTTGATAAATGAAAAATTAGAAAAGTCATATCATGGCTGTCGGCTAAAGTCACTGTGCACGTTCATCTGTGGCTAACGACTATAGTCGACGCTGGTACCGAAGTGGTTAAAATGAGCCCAAGGTGGGAGGATCATTTGAGGCCAGGAGTTCAAGAGCAGCTTAGGCAACATAGCAAGACATTTTCTATACAAAAAATAAAAAATTAGCTGGGCATGGTGGTGCATGCCTATAGTCCCACCTACTCAGGAGGCTGAGGGAGAAGGTTTGCTTGAGCCAGGAGTTTGAGGTTGCTGTGAACTATGATCAAGCACTGCACTCTAGCCCAGGCGCAGAGTGAGACCCTGCCTTAAAAAAATAAATGAAAGGAAAAGAAAAAGAAATGTAATTCTCTTCTTTAATATTTATATAACTTATTTCCTATTCTTAACCTTAGTGCATTTGTTGCTGGAACCTCCAAAACAAGAGACAGTCTCTTGTGGATTTTGAATTTTCAAATTGTACTTTGAATTAACTAAGTGAATCCACCCAGACCTTTAATGGTAATTTTTATTGCTCTAAAATATCCAGCATTTATTCAAGTTTTCTAATTTATTGATATGGAGCTGAAAACCGGAATTCTATTGTAATTTTTAAAATCTGTTGTATCTGTGGCTATTTACCCATTTTGTTTCTATTTTTTTTTTACTTTATTAAAATACTGGGTTTATTTCACATGTATATTTTGTCTCCCACCATTTCCATGTCTGACCACTGCTACTGCTATGTCCTATCATAACATTCCATACATACTTAAAACCAAGCAAAGGGTGGAGTTCCATCTTTAAAAAATAACAGGCATTTTGGACAACACATTCTTGGCAATGGAACCTGGACAACATTTATCAAACATGGTAGGGAAGTTCTCACTCTGCATTATAAAAAGGACAGCCAGATATCAACTGTTACAGAAATGAAATAAGACGGAAAATTTTAACAAATTGTTTAAACTGTTTTCTTAAAGAGACTTCCTCCACTGCCAGAGATCGTGCATAGCCTCCTGGTCAGTCATCCGAAAGCAGTTCTTCACATAATTGATGAATTTCGCTTCCACTTTGGGAAGAGAACCACCCTTTTCTATACTTGCTTGCATTTTGCCTTAATGTCTTCTACAGAACTAGGCTCATTTGGTGTTTTAGGAGTTTCTTCGTGTTTTTTGAAGGATTCTTGACCCTTTGATCTTGGTGTTGATAGTTTTGAGTCTTTTCCATTCTGGTTTGATTTCTGTGCATTTTGGCTGGAGTGTCTCATACAGATTTCTTCACTGGAGCTTTTTCTTCAGTATCCTCATCATCGAACTCATCATCATCATCATCTTCATCAGCAAGTTTTACTTTTTTCTATGGAACCTTGCTACCACCCTCCAGGAGCTTTCCAGATATACTTAAGATTTTCACCATCCTCTCATAGTCATCTTCTGACTCTGCATCTTCTTCCACAGCTACTAAGGCTGCCCACTAATATGCACAGGCCCTGAACCACACTTCAACCATAAGACCACCGGTGGTGTTATTTCAAAGCCCCAAGGGAAACATTGGCTGTACAGACATTTTCAAAGTTGCCAGTGTTCCTTTAATTGGACTGCCTTCATAATTCATTGCCTCTGCTTCAACAATGTGCAATTCATCCTTTGCACCACGCCCCTAAACTGACCGTTCTTAAAGATAATTGGTGCTCATTTTCATCATTATGCACCTTAAAGTGATAATCTTTGTCGGCCTTTAGTTTACAACCGAAAAGATAGTTCTGGGGCCTCAGGGGGCTCGTGTCCATGTCCACTGAATCTTCCATGGGATGGTGCATGCACTTAGGTACGAGAGAAGGTGGACAGAGATACATGACTACTGCTCCAAAGACAACTGGGCAGGATGGAATCACACAAGGATCCCATTTTGTTTCTAATGTAGTTTATTGGTGCCTTTTTTCTTTTTTTCCTAATACTTTGCATAAAGTTACCCATTATATTCATTTTCTCAAAGGACCAGCAGTTTTCATGCTTGATGTAGCTATCATACGTATAATAATTTTTAAGATGAAAGTAAATGTTCTGGAGGTTAAAGCACTCTGCTATTTTTCATGATCACCAATTCATTCTGAAAGCATTTCAGTCAGTAAGTGTGATTGGGTATATACAGAAACCCACTAATTCTTTCCTTTTCTTGCACTAGTGGCAGCAAATAATATTTTCATTTAACTCGCGTGACCCCAAGAACATAATGATGTTTGAAAAGGTTTGCTTAATGATGCTATTTCAAAGGACACAATAAAATAGAAAAGTTCAAAGTCACATATCATATTAAATAAAGACACTGGCTGGGCATGGTGGCTCACGCCTGTAATCCTAGCACTCTGGGAGGCCGAGGCAGGTGGATCGCTCAAGGTCAGGAGTTCGAAACCAGCCTGATCAAGAGCGAGACCTGTCTCTACTAAAAATAGAAAGAAAATAATTGGGCCAACTAAAATATAGAAAAAATTAGCCAGGCATGGTGGCACATGCTGTAGTCCTAGATACTTGGGAGGCTGAGGCACACACATAGGTATAGCTGTTGCTCCTAGGCTACACACATATGCAGGCATGTTAGTACTGAACACTGTAGGCAACAGTAACACAATGGTAACTATTTGTGTACCTAAACATAAAAATGTATAATAAAAATATTAGAAAAGAACTGATAGCCTGTATAGGGCACTTACCAAGAATGGGCTTCTAGAACTAGAAATTGCTGAGTGAGTGGTGAGTGAATATAACAGGCTATTGACATTACTGTACACCTATTAGCAGTGATAGCCTGTATAACAGCGCTGTATAAACACTGTATACTTAAGCTACATAAAATTATAAAAATTATTTCTTTAACAGTAAATTAACCCTAGCGTACTACAACTTTTTACTTTATAAACTTTTAAAAAATTTTTACTTTTTTGACTCTTATAATGACACTTAGCTTAAAGCACAAACACACTGTTAACTATACCAAATTATTTTCTTTATATCTTATTCTATAAGCTTCTTCTCCTTTAAATTTTTATTTTTTATTTTTTAGTCTTTTGTTAAAAACTAAGACACACACACACATTAGCCTACGCCACACAGGTCAGGATCCACCAATATGCACTGCTGTCTCTCCACCTGCCACATCTTGTCCTACGTGAAGGTCCTCAGGGGGATGAGAATAGCTTCTCTTTGTGACAACATGACCTCAGCTACGGAAGATTTTTTAAAGCTTGATGAGCTAGCAAAAGCTACCTTTGAAATGAGTGGATGAGTCTGCCAGGAAAGAGAAGAATCTATTGAGGTTAGGAAATGAATCAAGAAGCTTAAGGACCATGAGGTTAGTAATGTTACTGAAACCGCCCTCTGCATCATCTCAGAGATAGTTCAGATTCTCTTGATCCAGTATAGCTCTGGTGTGCAGAGGAGACTAAAGAACAGTCTTGGACCGTGCAGGCTGGGAACTGGAATCAGATTATTTTAATGGATGAGGTCACTCAGCTCAATAAACTGAAATAGTGTAATTTAACACTTCAGTCTGGGCACTGCACGGGCACGTAAACTTGCCCACAGCCGGAACTCATAGGTCCGCCATGATAGTCTGTGCTGTGTGCATTTAGCGAAATCTTTGTTGTCTCTTGTGTGATGAGGAAAGGCTTTAAAGCACGATAAAGCTTGTTTAATTATAGCAGGCTTTACTTGTAAATGAACGACGCAGACATTAGTAACATAAACGATATATGGTTGTTCGGATTAGCGTTATTTTAAATGTTCACAATTTAATTTTGATAATGAAAAATTAGAAAAGTCATATCATGGCTGTCGGCTAAAGTCACCTGTGCACGTTCATCTGTGGCTAACGACTATAGTCGACGCTGGGTACCGAAGTGGTTAACAATTGGAGGCCCAAGGTGGGAGGATCATTTGAGCAGGCAGTTCTAGAGCAGCTTTAGGCAACATAGCAAGACATTTTCTATAGGCAAAAAATAAAAAAATAGCTGGCGGGTGGTGCGGGAGTTGCGTGATGTCGGCCGAGCCTACTCAGGAGGCTGATGAGATAGGTTTGCTTGAGCCCAGGAGTTGAGTTCGCGGGGAGACATGATCAAGCGACTGCACGTCTAGCCCAGGAGCAGAGGAGACCCTGCCTAAAAAAGAATAGAATTGAAAAGAAAAGAAAAAGAATGTAATGTCTCTTGCTTTATATTCTATATAACTTATTTCCTATCTTAACCTTAGGTGGCATTTGTTGCTGGAACCTCCAAAACAGAGAGAGCAGGTCTCTTGTGGATTTGAATTTCAAAGTTGTACTTTGATATCTAACTAAGCTGAATCCACCCAGACCTTTAATGGTAATTTGTTATTTGCTCTAGAAGAATATGCCAGCATTTATTCAATTTTCTAATTTATTGATATGGAGCTGAAAACCGGAATTCTATTGTAATTTTTAAAATCTGTTGGTATCTGTGAGCGTATTTACCCCATTTTGTTCTTTTTTTTTTTTTACTTCTATTAAAATGTACTGGGTTATTTCACATGTTATTTTTGTCTCCCCACCATTCACCACGCCCGGCCTACTTCTTCCTATTTTTAAGATGGTTACTGATAACAGAAAAATACCTATGATTGTTTTTTTGGTTTTTTTTTTTTTTGATTGTTTTTTTTGTGTGTCAACTTGACCAGATTATGGGATGACCAGATAGCTGGTAGGTAAAACATTTCCGGGTGTGTCTGTCAGGGAGTTTCTGGAAAAGGTTAGTATTTGAATCAGTAGACTAAGTAAAGAAGATGGCATCATTCAATTCATTGAAGGCTTGAATAGAAAAAAAGCAGAGGAAGGGTAAATTCTCTCTATTCTTTAGCTGGGAAATCTCTCTTTTCCTGCCCTGGACATGAGTGCTCTTGGTTCTCCGCCCTGTGGACTTTGGGACATGTCCCAGCAAGCCCCTGTGCCCCAACCCTACCCTGGGGCAGCCTTTGGCCTTGGACTGAATTATACCCCTGGCTTTCCTGATTCTCCAGCTGCTAGACTGCACATCATGGGATTTCTCAGCTTCCAGAATCTTGTGAGCAAATTCCCATGATGTATCTCCTCTTATCTATTTGATATCTACCTACCTACGTATATCCCGTTGAGTCTGTTTCTCTGGAGAACCTGCCAAAACACCTTACTAAATTTCCTTGTAAATTACCATAGTTTAAAAAAATTTATATTATGATATAGTAGACACAAAAAATTCTATGTGGCATAGATGTAAGTTATTAAGTATAATAATAAAATGACATGTAAACTCAATACCCAACTTAGTAAGAGAAAACATTACCCCGGCCGAGCGTGGTGGCTCACGCCTGTAATCCTAGCTCTCTGGGAGGCTGAGGCGGGCGGATTGCTCCAGGTCAGGAGCTCGAAACCAGCCTGAGCAAGAGCGAGACCCCGTCTCTACTAAAAATAGAAATAAATTAATTGGCCAACTAATATATATAGAAAAACATAGCCGGCTGTGGTGCATGCCTGTAGTCCCAGCTACTCGGAGGCTGAGGCAGGAGGATTGCTTGAGCCCGGAGATTGAGGTTGCTGTGAGCTAGGCTGACGCCATGGCATCCACTCTAGCCTGGGCAACAAAGGAGACTCTGTCTCAAAAAAAAAAAGAAAAGAAAAAGTAATTGGCCAACTAAAATACATAGAAAAAATTAGCCGGACACGGTGGTGCATGCCTGTAGTCCCAGCTACTCGGGAGGCTGAGGCAGGAGGATTGCTTGAGCCCAGGAATTTGAGGTTGCTGTGAGCTAGGCTGATGCCACGGCACTCTAGCAAGGGCAACAGAGTGAGACTCTGTCTAAAGAAAAAAAAAAAAGAAAACATTATCCATACTGTTAAACAGCCCTCTGTGCCACTCCCTGAGCCCACATCGCCTCTTGCCCAGAAGCCATTACTAGCTTCAATCCCTTATTTTTATAGTTATAGTACATATGTGTATGACCCTAAATTGTACATCATTTTAGTTTGCTTATTTTCTAAAATTATAAAATATCATACTTTATGTATTTCGTTATAACTTGCTTTTTTCACTCAACTTTTTCTAAAATTTATTCATGTTGAAGTGCCATTCACTCAATCAATCAGTTAAAATGAATACTATTGCATTATATAAATACAGCCACAACTTATGTTTTTTTCCCCCATTTTTATGCTTAGGTTCAATATGTATCTTTTCTGTTACCAGTGGATCTTTAGGTAGTTTCCTGATTTTTGGTGCTATAAACATTTTTATGCATACTTTCTGCAAAAGGCTCTCTCAGTCACACACACAGTAAAACAGCATTTCCAGGCCAACTGTAAAGGATAAGGCCTAATCAGCCTCCAAAATGGTTGTACCGTTTTATGCTGCCATAGCAGTATATGAGTTTTACTGTTCCAAATCCTCACCAACTCCTGGTTAGACTAAAATTTTTGCCAGCTGGGGGCCAGGCATGGTGGCTCACACCTGTAATCCTACTGCTTTGGAAGGCTAAGGTGGGGGGATCACTTGAGGCCAGAAGTTTGAGGTGGCAGTGAGTGAGGATGACACACTGCACTCTAGCCAGGGCAAAAGAACAAGATCTTGGGTGGGAGGCGGGATCTGTTCTGGACTCTCTTTTCTATTTCATTGGTCATTTTGTTTATCTCCATGCCAATATCACACAATTTTAATTACCACAGTTTAAAATTAAAACTTATCTCCTCATATTATTTTTTGAGATAAGAGTCTCACTTTGTTGCCCCAGCTAGAGTGTAGTGGCATCATTGTAGCTGGCTGCAACCTCAAACTCCTATCACTTCTACCTCAGCCTCCCAAGTAGCTGGGGACTACAGGTGTGTACTAATTTTTTTCTCTATTTTTAGTAGAGACAGGGTCTTGCTCTTGCTCAGGCTGGTTTCAAACTCCTAAGCTCAAGCAATCTTCCTACCTCAGCCTCCCAGAGTGCTATCATTACAGGCATCAGCCACAGCGCCTGGCCAAGAATTGTATTTCCTTGTTGATATGATTATGTACTTCAAAACCTAAGAGACTTGTTAAAAATTATGAGAATGAGACTTCTCTTTGTGACAACATGACCTCAGCTACGTAATATTTTTTAAAGCTTGATGAGCTACAAAAGCTACCCTTTGAAATGAGTGGATGAGTCTGCAGGAAAGAGAAATCTATTGAGGTTAGAAATGAATCAGAAGCTTAAGACCATGAGGTTAGTAATTACTGAAACAGCCCTTGCATATCTCAGAGATAGTTCAGATCTTCTTGATCAGTATAGCTCTGGTGTGCAGAGGAGACTAAAGACAGTCTTGGACCTGTGCAGGCTGGAGAACTGAATCAGATTATTCTTTATGAGGTCACTACACTCATAAACTGAGAAGTGTAATTTAACCACTTCAGTCTGGCACTCACCGGCCACGAAACCTTGCCCACAGCCGGAACTCATAGTCCGCATGATAGTTTGTGCTGTGCATTGAAGACGAATCTGTTTTGCTCTTGTGTGATGAGGAAAGCTTTAAAGCACTGAAAGCTTGTTTTAATTATAGGCAGCTTTACTTGTAATGTAAATCAGAATAGGTAACATATACATATATGTTTTCATTACGTTATTTTTAAATGTTCACAATTTTATTTTGATAAATGAAAAATTAGAAAAGTCATATCATGGCTGTCGGCTAAAGTCACTGTGCACGTTCATCTGTGGCTAACGACTATAGTCGACGCTGGTACCGAAGTGGTTAAAATGAGCCCAAGGTGGGAGGATCATTTGAGGCCAGGAGTTCAAGAGCAGCTTAGGCAACATAGCAAGACATTTTCTATACAAAAAATAAAAAAATTAGCTGGGCATGGTGGTGCATGCCTATAGTCCCACCTACTCAGGAGGCTGAGGGAGAAGGTTTGCTTGAGCCCAGGAGTTTGAGGTTGCTGTGAACTATGATCAAGCCACTGCACTCTAGCCCAGGCGCAGAGTGAGACCCTGCCTTAAAAAAAATAAATGAAAAGGAAAAGAAAAAGAAATGTAATTCTCTTCTTTAATATTTATATAACTTATTTCCTATTCTTAACCTTAGTGCATTTGTTGCTGGAACCTCCAAAACAAGAGACAGTCTCTTGTGGATTTTGAATTTTCAAATTGTACTTTGAATTAACTAAGTGAATCCACCCAGACCTTTAATGGTAATTTTTATTGCTCTAAAATATCCAGCATTTATTCAAGTTTTCTAATTTATTGATATGGAGCTGAAAACCGGAATTCTATTGTAATTTTTAAAATCTGTTGTATCTGTGGCTATTTACCCATTTTGTTTCTATTTTTTTTTTTACTTTATTAAAATACTGGGTTTATTTCACATGTATATTTTTGTCTCCCCACCATTTCCATGTCTGACCACTGCTACTGCTATGTCCTATCATAACATTCCATACATACTTAAAACCAAGCAAAGGGTGGAGTTCCATCTTTAAAAAATAAACAGGCATTTTGGACAACACATTCTTGGCAATGGAACCTGGACAACATTTATCAAACATGGTAGGGAAAGTTCTCACTCTGCATTATAAAAAGGACAGCCAGATATCAACTGTTACAGAAATGAAATAAGACGGAAAATTTTAACAAATTGTTTAAACTGTTTTCTTAAAGAGACTTCCTCCACTGCCAGAGATCGTGCATAGCCTCCTGGTCAGTCATCCGAAAGCAGTTCTTCACATAATTGATGAATTTCGCTTCCACTTTGGGAAGAGAACCACCCTTTTCTATACTTGCTTGCATTTTGCCTTAATGTCTTCTACAGAACTAGGCTCATTTGGTGTTTTAGGAGTTTCTTCGTGTTTTTTGAAGGATTCTTGACCCTTTGATCTTGGTGTTGATAGTTTTGAGTCTTTTCCATTCTGGTTTGATTTCTGTGCATTTTTGGCTGGAGTGTCTCATACAGATTTCTTCACTGGAGCTTTTTCTTCAGTATCCTCATCATCGAACTCATCATCATTATCATCTTCATCAGCAAGTTTTACTTTTTTCTATGGAACCTTGCTACCACCTCCAGGAGCTTTCCAGATATACTTAAGATTTTCACATCCTCCTCATAGTCATCTTCTGACTCTGCATCTTCTTCCACAGCTACTAAGTGCTGCCCACTAATATGCACAGGCCCTGAACCACACTTCAACCATAAGACCACCGGTGGTGTTATTTCAAAGCCCCCAAGGGAAACATTGGCTGTACAGACATTTTCAAAGTTGCCAGTGTTCCTTTAATTGGACTGCCTTCATAATTCATTGCCTCTGCTTCAACAATGTGCAATTCATCCTTTGCACCAGCCCCTAAACTGACCGTTCTTAAAGATAATTGGTGCTCATTTTCATCATTATGCACCTTAAAGTGATAATCTTTGTCGGCCTTTAGTTTACAACCGAAAAGATAGTTCTGGGGCCTCAGGGGGCTCGTGTCCATGTCCACTGAATCTTCCATGGGATGGTGGCATGCACTTAGGTACGAGAGAAGGTGGACAGAGATACATGACTACTGCTCCAAAGAACAACTGGGCAGGATGGAATCACACCAAGGATCCCATTTTGTTTCTAATGTAGTTTATTGGTGCCTTTTTTCTTTTTTTCCCTAATACTTTGCATAAAGTTACCCATTATATTCATTTTCTCAAAGGACCAGCAGTTTTTCATGCTTGATGTAGCTATCATACGTATAATAATTTTTAAGATGAAAGTAAATGTTTCTGGAGGTTAAAGCACTCTGCTATATTTTCATGATCACAATTCATTTCTGAAAGCATTTCAGTCAGTAAGTGTGATTGGGTATTATACAGAAAACCACTAATTCTTTCCTTTTCTTGCACTAGTGCAGCAAATAATTATTTTCATTTAACTCCGTGACCCCCAAAGAACATAATGATGTTTGAAAAGGTTTGCTTAATGATGCTATTTCAAAGGACACAATAAAACTAGAAAAGTTCAAAGTCACATATCATATTAAATAAAGACACTGGCTGGGCATGGTGGCTCACGCCTGTAATCCTAGCACTCTGGGAGGCCGAGGCAGGTGGATCGCTCAAGGTCAGGAGTTCGAAACCAGCCTGATCAAGAGCGAGACCCTGTCTCTACTAAAAATAGAAAGAAAATAATTGGCCAACTAAAAATATAGAAAAAATTAGCCAGGCATGGTGGCACATGCCTGTAGTCCTAGCTACTTGGGAGGCTGAGGCACACACATAGGTATAGCCTGTTGCTCCTAGGCTACACACATATGCAGCATGTTACTGTACTGAACACTGTAGGCAACAGTAACACAATGGTAACTATTTGTGTACCTAAACATAGAAAATGTATAATAAAAATATCTTAGAAAAGAAACTGCATACCTGTATAGGGCACTTAACCAAGAATGGAGCTTCTAGAACTAGAAATTGCTGAGTGAGTGGTGAGTGAATATAACAGCCTATTGACATTACTGTACACTATTACATGAAGCCTGTATAGGCTGTATAAACACTGTATACTTAAGCTACATTAAATTTATAAAAATTATTTTCTTTAACAGTAAATTAACCCTAGCGTACTACAACTTTTTACTTTATAAACTTTTAAAAAAATTTTTAACTTTTTGACTCTTATAATGACACTTAGCTTAAAACACAAACACACTGTGTAGCTATACCAAATTATTTTCTTTATATCTTTATTCTATAAGCTTTCTTCTCCTTTAAATTTTTATTTTTTATTTTTTAGTCTTTTTGTTAAAAACTAAGACACACACACACATTAGCCTACGCCTACACAGGGTCAGGATCACCAATATCACTGTCTTCCACCTCCACATCTTGTCCTACTGGAAGGTCCTCAGGGGCAGTAACACACATGGAACTACCATCTCCTATGATAACAATGCCTTCTTCTGGAACACCTCCCTGAAGGACCTGCCTGAGGTTGTTCTATAGCTAACTTTTTAAAATAATAAGTAGAAAGAGAATACTGTAAAATAATGATAAAAAGTATAAATAATAAATACATAGGCCAGGTGTGGTGGCTTATGCCTATAATCCTAGCAACTTAGAGAGGCTGAGACAGAAGAACTCTTTGAGGCCAGGACTTTGAGACTAGCCTGAGCAAGTGCAAGACCCCCATCTCTACAAAAAATAGAAACATTAGCTGGGCATCGTGGCACATGCCTGTAGTCCCAGCTACTAGGTAGGCTTAGTTAGGAGAATCGCTTGAGCCCAGGAGTTTGAGGTTGCAGTAAGCTATGATGACACCACTGCACTCTACCCAGGGCGACAGAGTGAGACTGTCTCAAAAAAATAAAATAAAAAATACATACATAAGCCAGTAACACATTTATTATCAAGTATTATGTACTGTACGTAACTGCATGTGCTATACTTTCATAGAACTGGCAGCACAGTAGGTTTGTTTACACCAGCATCACTGCAAATATGTAAAGTAATATGTTGCAATGTCACATTACAATGGGATTTTCAGTTCCATTATAATCTTATGGGACCACTGTAGTGTATGTGCTCCATCATGGACTGCAAGGTCATTATGTGGCGCATAACTGTATGCAATTCCAATTAACACCTGGTTATATTTGGAGATTTGTAAAAACATTACCCATTCTGGCAGTATGATTTTTACTACCTACCTGTTTTTCATTAACCTTATTTCTCTTTTCAATTGGGGGTCATCTGTCTTAGTTGTCTGAGATGTAAGAGTAACAGGAGATGTCATCACCACAGTTTGTGGCAGAGAAGTAGCTGAAGGTGTGGTACGAATCTGATATGTCTGCATATCTCCCGATGCCGCTGGAAGGTCAAAAAAGAGTTAGTTGATAAGTATCTTTGAAAGGACTTTGGGACACTTCATATAGACAGTTCAGCATACTTACTCTGTACTACCACTTGATTGCTGGGCACAAGTATTTGCTGTCCATCAGAGGTCTGCGCATACTGGAGAATAGTTGTACCTTGCTGAGTATTGCCTGAATTCGTCATGGTTAATGTCTGAAGTCCCTGTACTCCATCTGTCCCTGGACTGGCCAACTGTAAGGCTCCATTTGGGGCAATGGCAACTTTAACCAAAGAGAGAAAACAGCTGTTGTAAGGCTATTCAATACATTAATTCAAAGAGGTGGCAGAAAAACCCCATAAAAACTATTTATGAAAACAGGTCTGAGTATAGTTCTACTTGAGAAATGTTGACTACTTTGAGTGAACTATACGTAAAGGAAATAAAATAGCATTTATTTATAGATAATAAGTCTTCATACTTTGTTTCTTAGTTCCACTTTCTAGTGGTACTACTGTTAAATGTATTACATGTTATTTACTTAAGTGATATTTAAGAAATGTAATCTATTCACTCACTTCCTAGTGAAAATCACCAATTAAGTCATCAGAAAGCCACTGAATAGCTCACATTACTTAGCTCCTTACAAACACTTTTCACTGAATTATACTTATGTTACTATTTTCTACTCAGCCCTTAAATGAAATGCCCATAGGATGTGACTAAGTAGAAAGCATTTTAGCATCATACAGTTCCCGCATAATAAATCCTCTTCAGAATCGAATGCTTCATTTCTATATCCTCTTTTCAGATTATAATTATGTAACCATTTTTTTTCCTTTTACACTTTGGCTACTAGTAGGCCAAAATACATGTCTCTGTGTGTTTTAAGTGAATATAATTTTTCTCATGAGTTTGTAATTATCCCTCCCGAACTGCTGCACACAAATATTCAGATTTAATTTACATGACTTAAAAAAATAGACTCATTAAAAATTTTTAGATGCAGAGATTTTTTTCTGAAGTTAAATTAGCAATTAGGTTCAATTTTCTTTTCTTCCTATAACACACACACATATATACATACACTTATTTATATAAATATAAAAAATAAAAAGTCCTGGCCGGGCATTGTGGCTCCCAGCACTTTGGGAGGCTGAAGTGGGAGGACTGCTTAAGGCCAGGAGTTCAAGACCAGCCTGGGCAACACAGTGAGACCCTATCTCTAAAAATTTTTTTTTTTTAATTAGTCCAAGTGTGGTCCTAGCTAGTTGGGAGGCTGAGGTAGGACAACTGCCTGAGCCTAGGTTTTCCAGGCTGCAGTGAGCTATGATTGCACCACTGCACTCCACCCTGAGTGACAGAGCAAGACTTTGTCTCTTAAAAAAAAAAAAAAAAAGTAAAAGTCACTATCTATCCGTTTATTTCATGTATAACCTCCACCCCTATCCTGAGGTAACAGTTATTTTTGGTGCACATCCTTCCTAATCTTTTCCTATAATCTTACGGTCTGATAAAGTAATATATATCAAAATATATAGATCTGTAGAAGCATATGATGTTAAATAAATTTGATAATACACAATTACTTTCCTTTTTGCAACATATCTTCCTGTTCTTGTTTAACATGTGTATTAGGCTGGGCGCGGTGGCTCACGCCTGTAATCCTAGCACTCTAGGAGACCGAGGCAGGCGGACTGCTCAAGGTCAGGAGTTCAAAACCAGCCTGAGGAAGAGCAAGAGTCCATCTCCACTAAAAATAGAAACAAATTAATTGGTCAACTAATATATATAGAAAAAATTAGCTGGGCATGGTGGCGCATGCCTGTAGTTCCAGCTACTCAGGAGGCTGAGGCAGGAGGATCGCTTGAGCCCATGAGTTTGAGGTTACTATGAGCTAGGCTGATGCCACGGCACTCATTCTAGCCTGGGCAACAAAGCGAGACTCTGTCTCAAAAAAAAAAAAGTGTATTAACCTGGTTCCATTTATTCTAAAGCTCTGCTGTCCAATACAGTAGCCATTAGCCCCATGTGTCTATTTAAATTATATAAAATTAAACAAAATATAAAAAATTCAGTCCAGGCACAGTGGCCCATTCCTATAATCCCAACACTTTGGGAGGCTGAGGCAGAAGGATCACTTGAGGACCAGAGTTCAAGATCAGCCTGTACAACATAGCAAGACCCCTGTCTCCACAAAAAATTAAAAAATTAGCCAGGCATGGTATCACACTCCTGTAACCTCAGCTACTAGGGAGGCTGAGGCAGGAGGATCACTTGAGTCCAAGAGTTTGAGGTTGCAGTGAGCTGTGATCACACCACTGCACTCTAGCCCATACAACAGAGCAAGACTATCTCCAAAAAACAAACAAAACACTGGGAAGCTAGATGTGGTGGCTCACGCCTGTAATCCCAGCACTCTGGAAGGCCGAGGCAGGAGGATCGCTCAAGCTCACGAGTTCGAAACCAGCCTGAGCAAGAGTGAGACTTCTACTAAAAATAGAAAGAAATTAATTGGCCAACTAAAAATATATAGAAAAAATTAGCCGGGCATGGTGGTGAATGCCAGTAGTCCCAGCTACTTGGGAGGCTAAGGCAGAAGGATTGCATGAGCCCAGGAGTTCAAGGTTGCTGTGAGCTAGGCTGATGCCAAGGCACTCTAGTCCGGACAACAGAGTGAGACTCTATCTCAAAACAAAAAGAAAACACTGGGAAAATCTCAGAAACAGAAAAGTCTTTATAGTGGCGATCTCCCTCCTCCCTAGCCTGTCTCCACAAACAAAAAAAGTCTTTATAAACATTAACTCCAAATCCAAAAACCATCAAAGAAAAGAAGTTTAGAAAAAAATATATATAAGCATGTGTGTATGTGTCTCTACTGTACATTTATTCAATTTTATTGATGTTTCAAATTTTTCATAAAAATATGTTGGAATTAAAACTAGAAATTGAACTTGAAAATATAAAGAGAATTAATTCATTACCTTGTTAGTTTTGTTGAACGTCATTTTAATAACCCAATAGACCTCATGTACTAAATTATTAAGAAAAAATGTGAGTGTTAAGACAAGTATAAGTTACTAATCTATAGACTACTGCTGAACATTGGTGGGAGAACAAACACTTCTGTTTCTGGTAGGAATTCATTTTCTGTCACTGTGTCTTGTGACTATAAGCTTTCCTCTCAAAAGGCAAGGACCACATTTGCTTCCTTTATAACTTTAGCCCCCCGATGGAATTCCATAAACCAATAGATGCTTACTTTGTCCTAGGTATTGACCAATCTTTATAATGATACTTTCAGATACAGAGATTTAATGATTTATTAAAGTTGATCAGTCCCTGATTATTTATGGTGGGCATGCTATAAGTTACATTGCAAAGCCATCTGAATCCTCTTTCTGAGTCAAACTTCCTTAACTTCAAACTGAAAACTCAATATTCATGTTTAATCTTTCATTTATGTAACTCATCCAAATTTCCTCTAGAATTAAGGTCATGGATATATAACTGGCTAGTGTCTGAAAAAGAAGTTTGTAAGAGACAGTGTAGTTTGGGGTAAAATTATGTCTCTAGATTCAGACATACCTAATTTTGAACCTGGCTCCATCACTTACAAGCTGTATGACTTCAGGAACATTATCTAATTCACTAAACCTTAGTTCCCTCATAAATTGATAACTCTCTATCTCACAAAGTTGTTTTAAAGGGTAAATGAGATAATACACTATTCCTGTCTAAAAATAATATCCTTTAATAATCACCACTGTTAAAGTATGACAGTCTTTCTATATTTTCCATGGAAAAGTCAGTTTTTGTGTGTCTATGATGTGGAAATTGATTCTTATACATACTGTACTGTCCACTGCTAGTCTGATAGATGGGAGTAGGAACGGACATAGAAGTGACAGCGGAAACTCCAGGGTTTTCTCCGTCTCCTTTTCTGCCTCGTGTATCTTCAGAAGATAGATCTTTAAAAATTTTCCTGTAAAAAAGAAAAAAGAACTCTATTAATGTTGGTAATGTGCATGACTTTACAAAAAGAAATGCTAAACCTTTTTCAATCTCAAATTAAAATTACAATAATCTAGACACCTAAACTATTGTGTCAAGGAATCTTTTTGTTTAGCATATATTAATATAATAATGTGCTCCAGGCTGGTTACATTTTAGTTTTTAACTACCTGAAAAGACACAGTAATACATTGAACAAACAGAGTGCCTAGAAAGCACTTGTAGAAGTATAAAATGTCCCTTTCTCCTATAGGACAGATGGCTCCATTGTGAGGTAATTCATTAACCAACAAGGTACTTCACTTTCTAAATAGTGTCAGTGAGCTTCATTCAAAAAGATCAATTTTTTTTTTTTTTTTTTGAGACAGAGTCTCACTCTGTTGCACGGGCTTGAGTGCCATGGCATCAGCCTAGCTCACAGCAACCTCAAACTCCTGGGCTCAAACAATCCTTCTGCCTCAGCCTCCGAGTAGCTGGGACTACAGGCATGCGCCACATCGCCTGCTAATTTTTTCTATATATTTTTAGTTGGCCAATTAATTTCTTTCTATTTTTTTTAGTAGTGATGGGGTCTTGCTCTTGCTCAGGCTGGTTTCGAACTCGTGACCTTGAGCAATCCTCCTGCCTCGGCCTCCCAGAGTGCTAGGATTACAGGCATGAGCAACCATGCCTGACCCAAATTTGTTTTTTTAACTCTCAACTCTATAGTGGGAGAAGCCCATAGTTCTCAGAAAGAAACAAGATTAGAAATACTATAAAAATGCACACTAGAGTATCAGTGATAAATTAAATTGCTTATTTTTTTTTTTTTTTTGAGACAGAGTCTCGCTTTGTTGTCCAGGCTAGAGTGAGTGCCGTGGCGTCAGCCTAGCTCACAGCAACCTCAAACTCCTGGGCTTGAGTGATCCTTCTGCCTCAGCCTCCCGAGTAGCTGGGACTACAGGCATGCGCCACCATGCCCGGCTAATTTTTTATATATATATCAGTTGGCCAATTAATTTCTTTCTATTTATAGTAGAGACGGGGTCTCGCTCTTGCTCAGGCTGGTTTTGAACTCCTGACCTTGAGCAATCCGCCCGCCTCGGCCTCCCAAGAGCTAGGATTACAGACGTGAGCCACAGCGCCCGGCCTAAATTGCTTATTTTGCCAAAGAGTTAAATATGAGCCAGGCACAGTGGCTCATGCTTGCTTTCTAAAACTGAGGGATTTGTGTCCTGGAAATTTCAGTCATTACATTTTTTTCTCCTAAAGAGACTAGAAGCCAATGTGCCTTTCCCCATTTTCTCCTTTTGTAAGTATTTTTAGATGTATGTTGTGTGTTGGACCTTCTCATTCTATCTTCTGTGTCTCCTAATTTCTGTTTATCTTTCTATGCTCTATTCTAGGTGATCTACTCAGAGCTGTACCTTCCAGTTCTCTAATTTTCTGTTCATTATATCTAACCTGCGGTATAACTTATATAGACATCTCTTACCAACTGTATCTTTCATTTCCATAAGTTTTACTTATTTTTTTAAATCCTCAGTCTCTTATCTTAATATTAGGGTTTGACTCCTTATGTCTCTCATAATTTTAATTTTACTTATGTCTCTGGTAACATCATTATCTGAGGTTTTCTAGAGATTTAATGCTGTTTATTGCATCTGCCGCTGCTTACTAATGATGAATTATTTCTTTCAATTGTAGTTTTTGATTGTGAGTTCACTCTAGTAAGGTGAACTAATTCTCCCCAAATTCTACAGGCAAAATTTTGCCTGTTCATTCAATAGAGTCCAAATTCCTTAACATGATAACAAGGCTCTAAGTAATCTTACTCCTGTTATTGTTTTCTTGTTACACTTCCTTTTCCTCCCAGTACCTTAAGCTTCTAATTCCCAGAACAGGCCAACCTCTTTTATATCATCCAACCTACCTTTGATTATACTGATTACTTTGTTGATTCCCTCAGCCTAAGAAGTTCTTCTGCCTTACAAAACTCCTCCCTGCCCCAGTCTCACAAAATTTATCAGATTGGTAGTGACCCAAATTACATCCTCTATGAAGTGTTTCCTATTTATTCCACTAAACAGGATTGACCATACCTTAAACATAGTTCTCTCATAATATCTAAAATCCTACTGCATTTGTTTCAAAAAGTGTCCCAACATTTTGTCTCCCTCTCCTTCCATATAGTTGGGTTTGATCAATTCTACCTAAGAAATGTCTCAAATTCATTCACTCCAAAGATATCCCAGTATCCATGAGAAATCATCTAAATTATTTCAAGGGCTTTCTATTAATTAGCTGTACTACTTCCAGCTCTCTATTCATTCAACAAGTTAATTGCTGAGCATCTACTATGGTCACTTTAAGGCCCTAGGTTCACGAAAAATAATAATACATGGGCCATACACTTAAATATACTGGAATTCCAACAGCATGAAATAAGTATCTTCATGGGTCAGTAAAAGGATGCCACAGAAGAAAGACCTAACCTAGTCTTGGGATGGTGGGGTGGAAGTAATCAGACAAGGCTTCCAGAAAGTATGCAGAGGAGTTATGCAGAAGGTAAAACAAAGTGTTTCAGGCAAAGGAGTACACAGGGCACAAGAACAAAGACCCAGAGTTACGAAGCTAAGAAGGTGAACACAAAGTCATCCGGTTCCTGAAGTCTACAGTCCCACTTTCACATTGCTATTAGAATTGACTATCTAAAAGTAAATATGGAAATCTAACACTTTGCCAGAAAATAAGTCTAAATTCTTCTTCAGCACAGCAACTTGGGCCCTTCATAATCTGGCTCTAATATGCCTCTCTTAACATCTTTATTTTAAATAAATTTTATTGTGTATATTTAAGGTTTACAACATGTTATGGGATACATACATTTAGTAAAATGATTACTATAGTGAAGATTAACATATCATTACTTGTTTGGTATAAAATTTTACACCAAAATTGGTATAGATTTTCCAGCTAAAATCTCTTTATTTAACCAAAATCTCCAATACAATACAATCTCATTAACTTTAGACTTCATGCCATGCATTAGATCTCTAAACTTGTTCATTCTACATATCTTCCATTTTATATCTTTGACCTATATCTCCTGAATTCCTCTCCCTACCACCACTCGTGGTAACCTCTGTTTCATTCTATCTCTGTGTATTTGAACACTTTTTTTTTAATATTCCACATATAAGTGAGTTCATGCAATATTCTTCTAAGTGTCGGACTTATTTCACTTAGCATTATGTCCTCTAGGTCTATCCATGTTGTGGCAAATGGCAGGATCTTCTTTCTAAGGTTGAATTCCATTGTATATACATAGCACATTTTCTTTGTCCATTCATCCGCTGATAGACATTTAAGTTGTTGTTCCCATATCTTGGCTATTGTAAATAATGCTGCAATCAACATGGAATGCAGGTATCTTTACCAAGTGATGATTTCATCTCCTTTGGGTATATACTCAGAAGAGGAATGCTGGGGTCAAATGGCAGTTCCATTTTTAATTTCTTTAGGAACCTCCTTACTGTTTTCCATAATGGCTGTACCAAACTACATCCCTGCCAACATTTGTTATCTCTAGTCTTTTTGATGATAGCCATCCTTATGAGTATCAGGTGATTACCTCAAAGAGGTTTTAATTTGCATTTCCCTAATAATTAGTGATGCTAAGTACCTTTCCATACACCTGTTGGCTAATTTTATGTCTTCTTTGGAGAAATGTCTGTACAAGTCCTTTGCCCAATTTTTGTTTTTAAATTTTTTATTTTAATAATTATTTATTTTAATATTTGAGACAGAGCACACTCTGTCACTCTCAGGAGTGTAGTTGTAGGATCATAGCTCACTGCAGCCTCAAACTCCTGGGCTCAAGCGATCCTCCTGCCTCAGCCCCCAAATAGCTGGAACTACAGGCACATGCCACCACACCCTGCTAATTTTTCTATTTGTTGTCAAGATGGGATCTTGCTATGTTGCCCAGGCTGGTCTCAAACACCTAATCTCAAGCAATCCTCCTACCTTGCTCCCCCAAAGTACTGGAATTACAGGTATAAGCCACTACACTGAGCCTAACCTTTCCCTTCTTAAATACATGCTCCCTCTTTAGTTTGCTATGCATGGGACATTTTGAACTCATTTGATAATATAATAACATGCAGAGCTTAATACAAGAAAGTACTTACCTGTATGATGGGCGCCGTGCTAGGATCCCGTGGGCTTTCTGTGAGGAGCCTATGCTATCAGATGAGTCCTGAGACTCCTCACTTTCTGATAAAGATGATACCTAAAAAGCAGAACTGGTTTTAATGTGATGAACAATGTAGGTGGGAAAAAAATTGAGTTTTTACTTTTAGAAAAAATAATCTGTCTCCTCCCACTCAAATTTAATTGCACATTAAATCTAAAGTCTAAAAGCAGCAACCAAAGGAAAAGGAAAAATGAGAAAGTTTATTTCAGGAGCCCAACCAACTAGAGTCTGTCTCCCAAATAAAGTAATACTATTCTACTAGAGTTAAAAAGAACAGTCTCTGTTCTCACTCATGCACATTACTTAAGAGTTGTTGTTGTTGTTTTATCACTAATGCTTTCTGATTTGGATTTCAGACATGCTAACTGTGAAAAGCCTATTAGATATCCAACTGCTGACATTGAAAAGACTGTTAAATATATAAGCCTATAGGTCAGGGAAGAGGTCTGAGCTAGATATATAAATCTGGGAGGCATAGCTCTTTAGAGTCCTGAGACTAGATGAGCTCACTATAGAAAAGAGTTGGACCAATGACTAAACCCAGGAACTGAAATATTGGAAAGGAGAGGAGGAACCAGCCAATGAGACTGAGAAGGAGTTACTAGTGAGGAAGGAAGAGAACCAAATGACTGAGCTGTCCTTGGAAAACTAGTGAAGACAGTATATTTAAGGAGAAAAGAGTGACGGACCATGTCAAATGCTGCTTACAGGTGAAATAAAACAAGGACTTGAAAACATTATTAGATTTAGCAAAGTGGAGGTCACTAGCAACAGCAAGTATAAATATACATAATTTAAAAATCTGTATAATCTGCTTTATCTCATTTCACAAACAATTTAATATATAAAGCAGTGCACAGCACATGGCACACATACAATGAATATTAACTATTACTAACAATAAACACCTTAAAACTCCATCAACACAATATATAAGTTTTAAGCTATGGCAATATTTTACAATTGAGAAAATAAATGTTTTTCCATTTTTTAAATCTTTTTTTATTATTAACCATTCCCCCTCAATTTTTAAAATGTGTTAAATTTCCCAACATTTGTTCAAAGCTAGATTATGATACCTGACTTCACCTTTATTTTAAAAAATAAAATAATCTAAACAGGCCTATAAAAGGAACATGAGAAAGCAATTTTGTACATTAGTTATTATCTACAGAAAGCCTTCCCCACTAAACACTACACTATTTAGATTTAGACATTAAATTTCCAGAGAAACTTGTTTTATATTTTGTCATCTACTTTAAAAATGATACAACTACTCACTCATATATTAAATCTATGTCTTATGACAGAAAGAACTGGTCAGAACCCAATAATAACAATTTAAAATAATAAGCAAAATCTAAAACAAAAAAAGGAAAAATCTGTTACTTTTATCTTTTCCTCAAGTATCATAGATATTCCATTTCTAATCTAAACCTTTAACTATTTTCACTACCCCTAAGTTTACTCCAAAGCCTCCCATTGAACTCAAGTAAGAAAATAATTTGTAAAATTAAGGAATTACTTGTAACCAAGATCAAGTATTACTCTTTAATGACAGTACCAACAAACAAGAATAAGTCCTCATATAAAAATTGAAAAATCCATGCAGCCACCTCCTTTCATATAGGAATACCACATAAAGATGCAGCTCTAGAGTTGACAATACTGCCATATTCAGGAGGAAAAAATGAGGTTATATAGCTTTTCTTCCAGGATAGCTGCTTCTAAAAATGAGAAATAACTAAAGGCATTCTGGGACTCACAGGAGCTAGAAGATTGATGGGGAGAAACTAAAAAGAAAAGGAGTGCAAGATGGCTCTTTCTTTTCTACTGTTGTCAGGTATTAATATGAAGGTAGATAAATATAAAAAAAGAGCTTTCCTCTACTCCAAGCATAAGGTAGGTACTTTATTACCTTGCTAAGACTCTTGCCATCATTACCCTTGCTTCAGAATAGTCCTTTCCATGAAGGATACCACTGGGATAAAGGGATTCTTTCTCTTTAAAAAGTCGCTCATTTCCTTAATTAGAAAGAAAAATAATTTCCCCCAAAATTGTCTTCTATTTCATTGAATATTATATACATGAAGCCAGAAATTCTAAAACTTTTCTATTTGCCTGCTTTGGTCTGCAGTCTAATTATTATTTTTCTTAAAAACAATGATAACTTTTAGGATCTGTAGTCTAATTTCTAAGACAACTTTGTACCTTGGTTATTGAGACAGAGTCTCACTCTGTTGCCTGGGTAGAGTACAAGTGGCGTCATCATAGCTCACTGCAACCTCAAACTCCTGGGTTCAGGCAATCCTCTTGCCTCAGTCTCCCAAGTAGCTCGGACTATATAGGTGCATGCCATGACACCTGGCTATTTTTCTATTTTTAGTAGCGATGAGGTCTTGCTCTTGCTCAGGCTGGTCTCGAACTCCTGTGCTCAAGCAATCCTCCTGCCTCGGCCTCCCAGAGTACTAGAATTCCAGGTGTGAGCCACCGCACCCAGCCTACAGTATCTTTTTTAAAAATCTATCCTTTTTTTATTTTTATTTCTTGTAGAGATGAGGACTCACTATGTTTGCCACACTGGTCTCAAACTCCTGGCCTCAGGTGATCCTCCTGCATTAGCCTCCCAAAGTACTGGGATTACAGGTGTGACCAACCAGCAGCCCTATAATATTGTAACTATAGCAAATTCAGTGTATCTGAAGACTCAGGTACCACCCTCAGCCACTAAGTCTTTGAATTTCTGTACCGTTTGCACGTGTGGTGGGTGAATTACAGAAGACTGAGCTGTCTTCTGGATGACCCCCTGAACCTGTACTTGCTCTCCAGGAAGAGGTACAATTGTCACTGGTGCAGATCCTCTTAATGACATCTAAGAACAAATAAAAATTCAATTAACAAAATACACATTGTACCTGTGCACATCAGATAGCTGAGTTTTTAACACTGGAAAACACATTTCACAGCTGATTATATTTAATCACATCTATTAACCAAACATTAGGTACCTTCTATAGACCAGAGACTGAACTAGGAATTGAGATAAACTAATTATAACAGAATATGAGGAAAATCAGAAAGTACTGTACTGTAGGGGCAAAGAAAGTGTACTGCTTCAGCTGGGTTTTGAATGATAAATGATTCTCCAAGGGTGCATATGGGGGTAGTGTTGAGGGGGACTGGAAGGTATTTCAGGCAGAGGAACTGATTTCATGCAAAAACATGGAGGCTCTTTAGCATAATTTATTCTAAAGTGATTTGGCTGAAAAACAACCAAGAAATCAAGAGTCAAAAAGTGAGAGAAATACTATCTTTGGGCAGTATCTTGAAAGAAATATCAAACATTTCAAGTAAATGACTGAATCATTAAATTATAATGTATTTTCAATGAAATCAGATGCGGGTTCATGAAAATACGATGATAAAATGCTAAACTAACAAAAGTCCACCCATCAAGGGTAGCCCTCAGGCTCACCTCAAATTGTACCTTTTCCAAGATTTCTCAAATATTTTCAGTTAACAGAGATCTCGCCTTCCTCTGGACTACTCTGGTTCATACAATTCCTCTTGGACTTAAGTCATGAAATAAAATCCCAGACTACTTCTCAGGCCCTGAAAATAACCTTTCTGACTGCTCCCCTCTTTTCTTAGAATTGGGCCCCAGAACACTGCCTTATTCCCTTTTGTGGAAGGTTCTTTTCCCCTTCCCAAGACTGGATTAAACTCCAGTCTCATGATCCCCCCAAATGCCCACGGTTATGAAATTTTGTATACAAAACTTATTCAGGTACTGAGAACTGCAAACTCAGCACAAATGACTCCATCCAACCCCCACCTTCTAAGAGACTTGACCAAATTCTAACCTGGCTTCTATCAGGTCAAGACTGTGTCCCTAGGATGACTCTAGACCACTTAAGATGCCTGCCTGAGATCTGTGAGCTAGTCTGACACCACTATACTCTAGCTGGGGTACCAGAGCAAGACTCTGCCTCAAAAAAAAAAAAAAAAGAAAAAAAAGATGCCTGCCTGAGAAAGCTTAATGCTGCTGAAAGAATTTACTGTTTACATTCATCGGGTGTTAGGCAGATGGGAGGGGGGAAGAGGAGATGGGTATATACACACCTAATGGGAAGAGGAGATGGGTATATACACACCTAATGGGTGCAGTGCACACCGTCTAGGGGGTGGACATGCTAGAAACTCTGACTCGGGTGGGGCAAAGGCAATATACGTAAACTAAACATTTGTACCCTTGTAATATGCTGAAATAAAAAATAAATAAAAGAATTTACTGTTTGTTCCAGCCAAAACTTGACTATAGGCCTTTGTCCTCACTTTTCTTAGAGCATTTACTTTAAAAAACTTGCAGCTGTAAATCCTTTCTTTGCTCCTTGAGATGTAAATATTCTGCAACTCAGAAATGTCTTTTTCAAGGGCCTGGGAGCCATCCCTTTGAAATGTAACCATCAAGAAGGATAGGATCTCTCTCTCCTGATTTCTGTGGGAAAGTAGGAGCCTAACTTTGATAAGTGCCAATGAGCAAACACAAATGGCTAGTGACAAACCTTCCCCCCAATGCTTCAGTACTTTTCTTTAGCACATCCAGTGTTTAAAAAGCCCAATATGAGGCCGGGCGCGGTGGCTCACGCCTGTAATCCTAGCTCTCTGGGAGGCGGAGGCGGGCGGATTGCTCGAGGTCAGGAGTTCGAAACCAGCCTGAGCAAGAGCGAGACCCCGTCTCTACTATAAATAGAAAGAAACTAATTGGCCAACTAATATATATAGAAAAAATTAGCCGGGCATGGTGGCGCATGCCTGTAGTCCCAGCTACTTGGGAGGCTGAGACAGAAGGATCGCTTGAGCCCAGGAGTTTGAGGTTGCTGTGAGCTAGGCTGACGCCACGGCACTCACTCTAGCCTGGGCAACAAAGTGAGACTCTGTCTCAAAAAAAAAAAAAAAAAAAAAAAAAAAGCCCAATATGATTATAATGGAGTTGAAAAATTCCTATTGCCTAGTGACAGACACACAGAAAAGAAGGACATGTGCTAACACAGGCAGAGAATGGAGTGACAAAGTTGGAAGCTATGGAAGTTATAGAACCAATTATACAAGGTACCATGAGCAAGAAACAAAAACAAAAGACAGCAGAATCAGACCCAAATGATTTTAGATAATGGCATTATAAAGATACAGATTATAAAACAATTATTCTTACTGTGTTTATTTAAAGAAATGTAAAGAGATTATGTTTCTGTTTCTAATCTTGCAAATATCTTTAGGAAACAGAAAACTGCAGTAGATATGAAAAAGAACCAAACAGATTTTCTAGAAATAAAGATATAATACTTGAAATATTAAAAAAAATCACTGTTCAGATATACTAGAAGATTAGACAAAGCTAAAGGGAAAATTAATGAAATGAAAGGCAATAAGAAATTATTGGAACTATAGCACAGAAAGACAAATAAATGGAAAATATAAGAGGTTAAAAGACAGAGGATAGACAGAGTCTGTTAAAAATATGGATGGTTGCATCTATACTAAACATGTACAGGCCTTTTTCTTGTCATTATTTCCTAAACAATGCAGCATAATAAGTATTTATATACTATTTACACTGTATTAAGTATTACAAGTAATGTAGAGACAATTTAAAGTATACTGGAGAATTCAATCAAGATTGGCTGAATTCAGGGATGCAGAACCCCCAAATACAGAGGGCCAATTGTACTTAAGATGACGGAAAAGGGATCTCAAATGGAAGCTTAGACATGGAAGAATGAGGAGCAAGGAAAATGATAAAACACATGGAACAAAACAAACATTAATTGAATAAACTTATGTTTGGTGGAATTAAAAGAGAAAAGATAAAGTCCTAACAACACTAACAAGTTAGAACTAGGATAAATAGAGATAAATGTTCTATGGTCCCTAGTAGTATTGATTAACTTTAGACTTTACTAAGTAGGCATGCTGTAATTAGGATAATCACTTAAAAAGCAGAAATGGAGTTTACATACAGTTTAAACCGCTACCATTGATGGAGGGATGGAATGAGATGAAATAACTGAAAAGACAAGAAAGATGAAAAAAAGAAACATAAAAGTAGTTCAAAAAACACAAATTGCCTGTAATCCTAGCACCTGGGAGGCTGAGGCGGGAAGATCACTCAAGGTCAGGAGTCCGAAACCAGCCTGAGCAAGAGTGAGACCCTGTCTCTACTAAAAATAGAAAGAAATTAATTGGCCAACTAAAAATACATAGAAAAAATTAGCCGAGCATGGTGGCACATGCCTGTAGTCCCAGCTACTTGGGAGGCTGAGGCAGTAGGATTGCTTGAGCCCAGGAGTTTGAGGTTGCCGTGAGCTAGGCTGACACCACGGCACTCTAGCTAGGGCAACAAAGTAAGACTCTGTCTCAAAAAACTAAAAAAAAAAATTAAATTAAAAAAAACACAAATTAAGAGTAGGTCTAACCCTGCAATTAGTAATTATGTTAAATGTACATGGACCAAAAGCTCCTGTTGAAAGACAAAGGAGACTACTAGATCTTTTTAAAAAATCTGGCTATATACTGTTACCAAAAGAAATATCTAAAACATATGCATATATAAAGTGAAAGTAAAAGCACAGGAAAAAGATATGTTGCTGCAAAACTAAACAAATCAAAGCCATGTTAGTCAAGTTTTAAAGGCAAAAAGCAATTAAAGACATAAATAAAAGGGACAATTCTCCTGGAAAATATAATTTAAAAATCTGGGACAGGCATGATGGCTCCTGCCTATAATCCTAGCACTTTGGCAGGCCAAGGCAGAAGGATTGCTTGAGATCAGGAGTTCAAGACCAGCCTGATTAAGAAAGAACCAAGATTCCATCTCTATTAAAAAAAACTAGAAAAATTAGCCAGGTGTGGTTGCACATGCCTATAGTCTCAGCTACTTGGGAGGCTGATCCAGGAGGATTGCTTGAGCCCAGGAGTTTGAGATTACAGTGAGCTATGATGACACCACTGCCCTCTAGCCAGGGTGATGAAGCAAGCCACCATCTCAAAACAAGCAAACAAAAGAAACCTGCATTCATTTAATAACATGGACTCATAACACACACACAATCATAGCATAAGTTGAAGGACCACTAGGAGAAATAAACAAGCCCACAATTATAATGGTAGATTAACATATTCCCCTCAGTCATAGAACAAGTAGACAAAAAGTTGATAAGGATATACAAGATTTAAACAACAGAACCAACAAAGTTGATCTAATAAATAAATAGAGTAACTTTGCATCCAACAATGCAGAAAGTAGAATAGAAAAGAAGACCTGGGTGTGGTGGCTTGTAACCCCAGCTACTCCAGAGGCTGAAGTAGAATTGCTTGAGGCCAGGAGTTCAAGGCCAGCCTGGGCAACATAGCAAGACCCCTATCTCCAAAAAAAAATTAAGAAAAGAAGGTAGAAAGTACCTTTTTTTCAAGTGCACACTAAAAATTTTAAAAAATTTATTTTATATTTTACGAGAGCAAAATTTATATTGCAAATTCCTTACTTATTAATTTTGTGAACAAAATCATATACTTTCCATTACCTTATAGGAAGAAATATCAAAGAACCACAGAATTGCTTCTCAATTATAATTTGTCAATATTCAATAAAATTTTAAAAATTGCTTTTCAAGTAAAGTATTCAAAACTATATCATTTAGAAAAATGTGCTGAATATGAAAAATATGAGATACAAACTCAACATTTCTAATGAATTCAACAAAAGTGGGGTGTTTTTTTTTTTCTGTTTTGTTTTGAGACAGAGTCTCACCCTCTTGCCCGGGCTAGAGTGCCATGGCATCAGCCTAGCTCACAGCAACCTCAGACTCCTGGGCTCAAGAGATCCTCCTGCCTCAGCCTCCCGAGTAGCTGGGACTACAGGCATGCACCACTATGCCCGGCTAATTTTTTCTATATATTTTTAGTTGGCCAATTAATTTCTTTTTATTTTTAGTAGAGTTCTTGCTCAGGCTGGTTTCGAACTCCTGACCTTGAGTGATCCTCCCACCTCGGCCTCCCAGAGTGCTAGGATTACAGGCATGAGCCACTGGGCCCAGCCAAAAGTGGGGTCTTAACCTTAAGGGCAGAAACTTGCTGGTCATGGCTCCTCTGAATAGTAGTATGTGATAGTTTTCTTCTAAGATGCAGTTGTTCTTGGTTAGGCTTATTCCTCTCCCTCCTTTTTTTTTTTTTTTTTGAGACGGGTCTTGCTCTGTTGTCCAGGTTAGAGTGCAGTGGCACAATCATAGCTCACTGTAACTTCAAATTCCTGGCCTTGAGTGGTCCTCCTGCCTCAGCCTCCTGAGTAGCTGGGAATATAAGTGTGCACCACCACACCCAGCTACTTTGTAAAAAAAAAATTTGTCTCAGCCTCCCAAGTAACTGGGACCACAAGGTGTGTGCCACTATACCCGGCTAATTTTTTTTAAATGTTTGGTAGAGATGGGGGTCTGGTTATGTTGCCCAGCCTTACTGTTCTCTTATCAACAGAGGATGCCAATGTGTATAGTCATATTTCTTTTGGAAAAACTCACATATTCTCAAGACCTCTTGGGTTTCCAACATCCAGACATTTTGAATGACCTTGCCAACTCCATCTTAAAAAGACACGACAATATTATTTTGTTATTACTACACTTCAGTTGTAGATTAGAACATTCACTCTGTAATTTGGGGGAAATTCATCTCTTATAAGATGAGGCTACTCATGTTAAATTCTTCAATATACATTGGTTAAATATTATAAAGCCTGTGCCAGGTGCAGTGGTATGCATCTGTAGTCCTAGCTACTCAGGAGGATGAGGCAGGAGGATCATTTGAGCCCAGGAGTTCAATGCCAGCTTGGGCAACACAGCAAGACCTTCTCTCTTAAAAAAATTATATATTAATATATACACATACTACATATATATATAATGAATATTTCTGGTCTATTAGTTCAGTCATTTTACTTTGTATAATTTTGAGCTGTACTCTTAACAGTTTTATGGGCCACATCCAGAATATTACAATGTAATAGAGTTATAGTAAGATGATTATCCTAAAATGTCTACTATAAGCCAGGTATGGTGGCTCACACGTAATCCTAGCATTCTGGGAGGCCAAGGCAGGCAGATCACTTGAAGCCAGGAGCTCAAGACTAGCCTGAGCAAGAGTGAGACCCCGTGTCTTCTAAAAATAGAAAAATGAGCAGGGTGCAATGGCTCACACCTGTAGTCTCAGCTACTCGGGAGGCTGAGGCAGGAGGATCACTTAAGACTAGGAGTTTAAGGTTGCTGTGAGATGACACTACTGCACTCTAGCCCAGGCAACAGATCAAGACTCTATCTTTTATATTTATTTATATAAAATATCTTACATATTTTATATATCTTCTATAAAATAAATAAAATACTGCAAGTGAAATTTTATCATAGCGTGATACTGGTAAATTATATTTACTCTGACATCCTATTAAAGAAATTATAAATATTCCTTATAAATATTTTTCTTAGCTATCAGCCATTCAACAAAATATGTCATTTTACATTGTGTGAAAAATAAATGAATAGAAGATGAGAAAATCTGAGCAGTTTGTAACTCTTAATCTGCATTCAAAATGAAAAATGATTTCTTCAAGCATGCATGGAGCATTCACAAAGATACCATATCCTGGATAATAAAGCAAACCTTAATAAATGTCAAAGTACAGAGTGTTTTTGGACTATAATGGAATCAAATTAGAAATTTATTAACAGACCACAGAAACATCTTCAAATATATGGAAGCTAACACATTCCTAATTAATCCACTGGTCAAAGAGAAAGTGTCAATAGAAATTTAGAATATACATAGAACTGAATTAAGAAAAATCTCAAATGAATATTCCACCTTCCTACCTCAAGAAACTAAAAAAAGAAGACCAAGTGCAGTGGCTCACGCCTGTAATCCTAGCTCTCTGGGAGGCCAAGGGCAGGAGGATCGCTCAAGGTCAGGAGTTTGAAACCAGCCTGAGCAAGAGCGAGACCCCATCTCTACTTAAAAAATAGGAAAGAATAATTGGGCCAACTAAAAAATAAAAAATATATATATATATATATATAAAAATTAGCTGGGCATGGTGGCGCATGCCTGTAGTCCCAGCTACTCAGGAGGCACTGAGGCAGAAGAATTGCTTGAGCCTTGGAGTTTGAGGTTGCTGTGAGTGAGAGAGGCTGACACCATACCACTCTAGCCTGGGCAACAGAATGAGACTGTCTCCAAAAAAAAAAAAGAAACTAAAGAACAAAAGAAATTCAAAACAAGCAGAAGGGAATATTAAAGAGCAAAAATTAATAAACTGAAAACAGGAAAACAATAAAACCAATGAAAGGTTCTTGGGGGGGGGAAATCTATAAACCTCTGGCAAGATAAAGATAAAAAAAAGATAAGACACAAATCACCAACATCAGTAAAGAAACAGGAGATAGTCATTACAGACCCTGCAGCCACTAAACAGATAGCAATGGAATACTACTTTATACTCATACGTTTGACAATTTAGAAGAAATGCACTAATTTCTCAAAAACCAAAACAACCAAAATTCAGCCAAGATGAAATAGCCTGAATACTCCCTCCCGAAAAAGAAAATTTCCAAGTCCAGAAGGTTTCACTGAAGAGTTTTACCAAGCATTAAAAGGAGAATACCAATTTCATACAATCTCTTCCACGAAAGAGAAGAGAAGGGAATGCTACAACTCATTTTATGATGCCAAAGACATTGCAAAAAAAAGAAAAGAAAACCACAGACCAATAGCTCTCATGAATTTAGCTCTCGCAAAAAAACTCAACAAAGTATTAGCAAATGTGAGCTAGGTGCATGGCTCATGCCTTTAAGTCCTGTATACTCAGGAGCTGAGGTAGGAGGAGGATCACTTGAGCCCAGGAGTTTGAGACCAGCCTGGCAGATGCAGTAAGACTCTGTCTCTTAAAAAAATAATAGCAAATTTAATGTAACCACACACACAAAAAAAAACAAAAAAACACCACAATGATCAAGTGCAATTTATTCTAGGTATGCAAGGCTGGTTGAACATTTGCAAATCAGTAATCCACAACATCAACAGGCCAAAGAAGAAAAAAGTCATATAATCATACTAACTGATGCAGAAAAAGCATTTGACAAATCTGACAATATTTCATGAAAAAAACTCAGAAATCTAGCAATAGATGGAAACTTCCTCAAACTCACAAAGACCACCTATAAAAAAAACCTACAGCTAACATCAGACTTAATGGTAAAGGAATGAATGCTTTCTCTCTAAGACTGGGAACAAAGCAAGGATGTCCATTCTCACCCCTCTCCTCAACATAGTTCTGGAATTCTAGCCAGTATAACTAAGGCAAGAAAAAGAAATAAAAGGCATACACAGATCAGAAGAGAAGAAATAAAACCATCTCTATTTGCAGATGACATGGTTGTCTACACAAAAAATCCCAAGGAGTATTTTAAAACACACACAATCCATCTCTTCTAGAATAAGTGAGTTCAATGTTACAAGGCACGAGATCAAGATCAATACACAAAAATCAATTGCATTTCTAACACAGTATCATTTACAATTGCTCCAAAGAAAATGAAATACTTAGTTATAAATTTAACAAAACATGTATTGGATGTGTATGTTGAAAGCAACAAAATCCTGTGGAAAGAAAAGATCTAAATAATTGGAGAGACTGCATTCAAGGATTGGAAGATTCAACATAATAAAGATGTCAATTATCTCCAAATTTATCTACCAGTCTGTAGACACAGATAAGCTTATTCTAAAATTTATATGGAAAGGAAAAGGCCCTGTAAAACAGCCAAAGTTTTGAAAAATATTAATAAAATGGAAGGAATTACTCTTCTCAATGTTAAGTTTTTTGTTTTTTGAGACAGAGTCTCACTCTGTTGCCCTGGCTAGAGTGCCGTGGTGTCAGCCTCGCTCACAGCAACCTCAAACTCCTGGGCTCAAGCAATCCTACTGCCTCAGCCTCCCAATTAGCTGGGACTATAGGCATGCACCACCATGCCTGGCTAATTTTTTCTGTATATTTTTAGTTGTCCAGCTAATTTCTTTCTATTTTTTAAGTAGAGACAAGGACGAGGTCTCATTCTTTTTTTTTTTTTTTTTTTTTTTTGAGACAGAGTCTCACTCTGTTGCCCAGGCTAGAGTGCCGTGGTGTCAGCCTAGCTCACAGCAACCTCAAACTCCTGGGCTCAAGCGATCCTCCCGCCTCAGCCTCCCAAGTAGCTGGGACTACAGGCACACACCACCATGCCCGGCTTATTTTTTTGTATATATACTTTTAGTTGGTCAGTTAATTTCTTTCTATTTTTAGTAGAGACGGGGTCTCGCTCAGGCTGGTTTCGAACTCCCGACCTCGAGCAATCCACCCGCCTCAGCCTCCCAGAGTGCTAGGATTACAGGCGTGAGCCACCGCGCCCGGCCGAGGTCTCGTTCTTGCTCAGGCTGGTCTTGAACTCCTGAGCTCAAATGATCTTCCCACCTCGGCCTCCTAGAATGCTAGGATTACAGGTGTGAACCACCGCGCCCAGCCTCAACATTAAGTTTTATCACATATAGCTACACTAATGAGAGAGAGTGGTACTGACAGAAGAACAGACATACAGCTCAATGGAATACAATAGAGAACTCAGACAAATATGCCCAAATGATTTTTGACAAAGGTACAATAGCAATTCAATGTTGCTGTAGCAATTGTATATTCATGGGCAAAAAACAGCAAAAAATATACAAATCTATACAAAAATTAACTCAAAGGGATCACAGACCTAAACATAAAAGTTCCAGAAAAAAATATTAAAAAAAAAAAATCTTCAAAATCTAGGATTAGGCAGTGTTCTTCGACACTAAAAGCACAATCCATAAAAGGAAAAATTGATAAAATATACCTCATCAAAATTAATACTTTTAACAGGTGAAAGACCCTGTTGAATCAATGAAAAAGAAAAATACTCTAACTGCTCTATTCCATTTATGCTGGAAAGATCCAAATAAATCTCTCCTGATTTCTAACTTAATAGGATAATCTTCCTTTACCAAAAAGCAAAACCCAGACAACCAAGAATGTCCAATACATTGGATGGCAAATCTCCAGATAGGAATAGATTGCCAAAAGCACCGATGGACAAATATCCTCAGTTTATTCCTAGACAAACCTTGAGTTAAGTTCTCGTGGCAAAAATATGAATGGGATGATGATCAATCTGTTTAAAAAGTGTTTTGGAGCCAAACCAATTTGTAATTTCAACTATCTTCATTTAGGAGGCAACAAAGCACTGTGGTGATTTGGATAGACTCTGGAGTGTAGTGGACAATATGATGCAACTCCCAGATCCCTTTTTTGGTAAAGGATTTATTCTTCAGCTGCTGGAGGACAGCTGAGGCAGAAAGCATTCAGTTATCAACCCTCTTCAGAATGGCCTTGACTGAAGAGAGCCACCTTGCCAAAGGCTGTACACATCCCTTCCTGGGGCAGTCAGAATCTAATGACTGGTGCATGCAGGGCTGGCTCCTTACCCCAATTCTGGAGAATTGTCTCAGCTTCAGAGGTCCCCATGATGTCAGCTGAGGGCTCTGTTGAGACTGAATCACAATCCAACTTGTGCCTCTGCCCAGTACTATTTCCTTCCCTTCCCTTCCCTGGGTGGTAATCCCAAGAACGTTCCCAAATGAACATCCTGCATGCTAATCTCCATCTCACAGTCCTGGAAACTCAAACTGAGACAGAAGTCAAACTGCTAGGATGTAAATCATGTTTCCACTTACTAGTTGAGTGACCTATAAAATGGGGATTATAAAAGCACAGTAGGTTGATATAAGGTTTGAAGGCATTAAAATGAGTAAAGCACTTAGAAATCCACCTGGTAGGTAGGCAGTGGCTACAATAAATGTTAGCTGCTACTATCATCGTTTTCTGTTATTCCCATGTACACATGGTTAAAGTATACAAATGTCTCTACAATATAAGAATTACTAAAAGTTATGAGCTAGAAAGACTTTATAGATCACTAGCCTAATGCCCTTAATTTCCAGATAATCAACATCAAGTCTACAGAAGTAAGTGAGGCCAGGCACAGCAGCTCACGCCTGTAGTCCCAGCTACTCAAGATGCTGAGGCAGGAGGATCGCTTGAGCCCAGAAGTTTGAGGGTGCAATAAACTACCATGACACCAGTGCACTCTATCCAGGGTGACACAACAAGACTCTCTTCAAAAATAAAAGAACTGACTTAGTCAATGCTCCAGAATCAGTAAGTGACAAAGCCAGGATTCAAACCAGGTCTTATGATTGCTTCCATTTTCCTTTTACAAAGCAAGCAGCCTCTCAATCTGTATACACTTTATACTTGAATGAAATTCAACACGTATTGAGTATCTCTCCTTCACCTTCTTGCGAAAACTGAAACTTGACTGAGTCTTCCAAGGAACACTGCCTCTACTATGACTCTGTCATGCTCCTCATGAGCCTATAGTTAGGGTGGGTATTTCCTTCGTTCCTCACTGCTGCTTCCTGACCACTGTCCCTTAAAAGTCCTCTCCCCAAACTCCCAACTTTGAGGCACACAGCAGCAGACTGCCCTTGTGGCAGTCACGTCCCCTTGCAGGTGGTCCCTAGGAGCTTAGGGTAGCCTCTAGCCAAAACCCAACAAAAAAACCCCGAAGCTTTCAGTGCCATTACCACAACAAAAAGAATTCTGCTAACAACCTTGGTGAGCTTGGAAGTGGATTCTTCTCTAGTCTAGCCTCCAGATAAGAACCCAGCCCTAGCCAACACCTTGATTGAAGCTTGTTGTGAGACCCTGAAGCAGAGAACCTGGCTAACACGTGTCTGACCCCACAAAACTATGAAATAATAAATGTATTATTTTACACTATTAAGTTGGTGGTCATTTGTTTTGTAGCACAGAAAACTAATACATATAGTACTATATACTTAACATACCTAAAAACCAAATTCCTAATTTCCAACAACCCCCTCAAAAATAAAAGAAAAACATATTCCATCTCAATAAATAGCAACTCCGTTCTTATAGTTACTCAATCCAAAAGCTGTGGAGTCAATCTTTACTCCTTTCTCTAAAACTCCACATCCAATCCAAAAGCAAACCCTATTGGCTTTACAACCAATATGTATCCAGAATATAACTTTATCTCCCTACCACCATTGCTACCACCTTGGTCCAAGCCACTATCATCTCTCATTTACATGACTGTAACACCTCCCAACTGGTTCTCCTGCTTCTACTCCACAAAGCAGCCTGAGTGATTCCTTTAAATATGTCAGATGATGTTTTTACTCAAAATACTCTAAAGGTTCCCAGATTAAAACCTAAGAATGGGGCCAGGCGTGGTGGCTCACGCCCATAATCCTAGCACTCTGGAAGGCCGAGACAGCCGGATTGCTCAAGGTCAGGAGTTATAGACCAGCCTGAAGAAGAGCAAGACCCCGTCTCTACTATAAATAGAAAGAAATTAATTGGCCAACTAAAAAATATATAGAGACGCCTGTAATCCTAGCACTCTGGGAGGCCGAGGCGAGCAGATTGCTCGAGCTCAGGAGTTCATAACCAGCCTGAGCAAGAGCAACACCCCGTCTCTACTATAAATAGAAACAAATTAATTGGCCAACTAATATACGATAAGAAAATACCGGGCCATGGTGGCGCATACCTGTAGTCCCAGCTACTCGGGAGGCTGAGGCAGGAGGATCGCTTGAGCCCAGGAGTTTGAGGTTGCTGTGAGCTAGGCTGACGCCACGGCACTCACTCTAGCCTGGGCAACAAAGCGAGACTCTGTCTCAAAAAAAAACCAAAAACACATATATAGAAAAAATTAGCTGGGCATGGTGGCACATGCCTGTAGACCCAGCTACTTGAGAGGCTGAGGCAGGAGGATCACTTGAGCCCAGGAGTTGGAGGTTGCTGTGAGCTAGGCTGATGCCATGGCACTCTAGCCGGGCAACAGAGTAAGACTCTGTCTCAAAAATAAATAAATAAATAAAACATAACAATGGCCAAGTGCAGTCATTCGCGCTTGTAATCACAGTGTTTTGGGAGCCTGAGGCAGGAGGATCTCTGAGGCCAGGAGTTTGAGACCAGCCCATGCAACATAGCAAGAATCTGTCTCCAGCCGGGCGCGGTGGCTCACGCCTGTAATCCTAGCTCTCTGGGAGGCCGAGGCGGGCGGATTGCTCGAGGTCAGGAGTTCGAAACCAGCCTGAGCAAGATTGAGACCCGTCTCTATATAAATAGAAAGAAATTATTGGCCAACTAATATATATACAAAAAAAAAATTAGCCGGGCATGGTGGCGAATGCCTGTAGTCCCAGCTACTTGGGAGGCTGAGGCAGGAGGATTGCTTGAGCCAGGAGTTTGAGGTTGCTATGAGCTAGGCTGACGCCATGGCACTCACTCTAGCCTGGCAACAAAAGTGAGACTCTGTCTCAAAAAAAAAAAAAAAAAAAATCTGTCTCCACAAAAAATTTAAAAATAAGCCAGACACAGTGACATGCATCTGTAATCCCAGCTACTCGAGAGGCTGCAGCAGGAGATCACTGGAACCCACAAATTCAAGGCTCTAGTGGGCCATGATGGTACCACTGCACTCCAGCCTAGGCAACAGAGCAAGACCCTATCTCTAAAAAAAAAAACAATAAAACACAAAAATCTTACATTGGCATACAATGCCTACATTATCTGGCACTCCCCCTCTCCCACATCTATCACTCCCGCTCATTCGTCCCTCTCCCACCACACCGGCCACCTTGCTGTTCCTTGACCATGTCAAGCACATATCAGTGTCAGCTTGACAATTGTTTACCTATATAATTGAACAAGTGTTTCCTCAGGTAGGACTTCTCTGACTACCTTGTATAAAAAGGGTAAGTCTCTCTGTCTCAACTACCAACTCCCTATCCCTCCTACCCTGTTTTATTTGTCTCCATAGCAGGTATTACCAACTGATATGTTTTGTTACCTGTCTCTTCAAAATTTTAGTGTAAGTTACAAGAAAGCCAAGACTTTTATTCACTGTTATATGCCTAGCTTATACTTAATTACTATGTTAGATACTGTTTCCTTACAGAATTTAGAGTCTAACAAAGTAATCAAGCCACAAAATTTGGATATAAAGTTACTACCATTATTTTTACAAACCACTATAAAATGAATTACCACCTAGAAATGCACTTATTCTACCACTGTAAATATACTTCTAAGGACACTTGAAAACATTCACCTCTAACCAAAATAACTGGAATATATAAGCAAGCCAACTGAATTAAACATTTCTGTAAAGGCCTCTATTCACAGAAAGATAACCAAAGGACGACGACTCCACCTTGTTTTTCCAGCACCATCTGGAAAAGATACGTTATTCTTCACAGAGATAGACAAATAATAGAGAAGAATGCATTATTCATCTTCAAGGATTAACCCCTTGGGTCACTGGTTCCCAAACCTTTTGGTCACAAGATCTTTATTCCTAAAAATTATTAAGGACCCCACAAAATTTTATTATGTTGGTTATATCTATTGATACATATATTTAAAATTAAAACAAAATTTTAAAAAATATTTAACAGTTCATTTTAAAATAACAAGCACAAATCCATTACACGTCAACATAAATATTTCCATAAATATAATTTCCAAAATAAATTAGTGAGAGAAATGGCAATGTTTTACATTTCTACAAATCTCCTTAATGTCTTACCTAATTAAATCTACATTAAATATGTTATCATATGTTGTTTTGGCTGAGGTACAGCCACAACGCCTGGCTGAAAATTCAAATCTTATCACTAGCAACAAACACTGTCAATTGTTTTACTTGAAGTGGGTCAGGTTCATGGATTACACAATTTGAAATAAAAAATACATCATCGGCTGGGCATGGTGGCTCACACCTGTAATCCTAGCACTCTGGGAAGCCGAGATGGGCAGATCACTCCAGGCCAGGAGTTCGAGACCAGCCTGAGCAAGAGCAAGACCCAGTCTCTACTAAAAATACAAAGAAATTAGTCGGACAACTAAAAATATACAGAAAAAATTATCCAGACATGGTGGTGCATGCCTGTAGTCCCAGCTACTTGAGAGGCTGAAGCAGAAGGATCCCCAAAGCCCAGGAGTTTGAGGTTGCTGTGAGCTAGGCTGATGCCAAACTATTAGTCTCCATGTCAAGTTAGCTCAAAAAGCCAAATAAATTTTCACTTTTTTCTGATGTAGCAACAAAATTAGTCTGAAAAAAAATCTAAATAATTGTGCACCATGTAAAATGAAGCTGACTTCTCTAAATTTTGAGAAATCAACTCTAAATATAAACAGGCCTCCATATTTGTGGGTTCTACAGCCATGGGCTTCATGTCCATTGACTCACCAACTGTGGATTAAAAGTATTTGGAAAAAAAAATTGTGTTGGCCGGGCGTGGTGGCTCACACCTATAATCCTAGCACTCTGGGAGGCCAAGGCAGGCAGATTGCTTGAGGTCAGGAGTTCAAAAACAGCCTGAGCAAGAGTGAGACCCTGTCTCTACTATAAATAGAAATTGGCTAACTAATATACATAGAAAAAACTAGCTGGGCATGGTGGCACATGCCTGTAGTCCCAGCTACTCGGGAGGCTGAGGCAGCAGGATTGCTTAAGCCCAGGAGTTTGAGGTTGCTGTGAGCTAGGCTGACGCCACGGCACTCACTCTAGCCTGGGCAACAAAATGAGACTCTGTCTCAAAAAAAAAAAAAAAAAAATTGTGTCTGTACTGAACACATATAGGCTTTTTTCTTGTCATTGTTTCCTAATACAGTATAACTATTTACATAGCATTTACATTATGTTAGGTATTATAAGTAATCTAGAAATGACCTAAAGTATATGGTAAGATGTGTATAGGTTATATACAAATATTCAGCCATCTTATATCAGAGACTTAAGCACTGCAGTTTTTGGTATCTGAGGGAGGTTCTGGAACCAATCTCCCAAAGATACTGAGGGATGATTATATACTTAGTATAAAAGAAAATAAAACCAAGTCTTGACAAGATACTTTCATCAAACCCAACTTCCCTCCTTACATTTTAACATTTTACACAGTCTTTTATCTTTGGTTCTTTGTTTGAACATTAGTAAAAAGAGATCTGA